TGGTTTACAGTATACTTGAACTGGTGGAGATCATTTTCATATTTGCCTCCCAAAACCAGTGTCATTTACGAACAGCTCAAATATTTCATGAAAGGCATCCGGACAAAAATGTAAGTCACGTGTACGTCCGCGATTTAGTTGAAAAGTTTAGAGAAACGATATCAATGCCAAATAAAAAAGGGATGCCCCAAGATTACTGAATGAAGCATGCCAAATTCAGGTTCTTGGAAATTTTGCAATCAACACGTCAAGTATCTGCAATGTCAGGACTTTCACATGAGTCGGTTAGAAAAGTGTTGAAATTACATAAGTTTTACCCGTACAAAACACAAATTCTTCAAGAACTAGGCGATGGTGATCCAGACCGACGAATTGAGTTTTGTGAACTCATGACTGAAAGAATTCGCGTTGAACCGAAAATATTAAAAAATATTTGTTTCACTGATTAATTTACTTTTATGCTGATTGGTAATGTAATTAAAGAAAACTGTCGGTACTGGAGTGATGCGAACCCGCATGGATTCAGAGAAGGTCATACTTAATATCCTGAAAAACTAAAGGTTTGGGCAGGAATATTAGGCGATGCTATAATTGGCCCCTTGTTCATACCAAGCAATTACAGTGGCGACATTTATCTCGCTGGAAAACACCATCGAACATTTAATTGTGCATGGATTAGACAGCCGAAGGGACGATCAATGCAACCTAGCTCTAGACGAAGATTTGCTGCACTTCCGTTGCTATTACTAATTATCCGAACAAATGAATTGGAAGGAGAGGTCCTATAGAGTGGCCACCGAAGTCACCAGACTTACCACTACCTGACATTTTTCTATGGGATTATCTCAAGTCAGTAGTTTATAAAACTCAACCTGCGTCACTTGGGGAATTGCGAAAAATAATTACGCAAGCATGTCGCTCTATTACTAGAACGTTTGCCAAAGTTCGTGCAGAATTTGAAAATAGGCTGTATTATTGTTTACAAAACAACGGAATCGATCTTGAACATTTACTTAATTGACATTTTTAACAAATTTATAGTTCAACAAAAACCTCATTAAATTTTTCATTCAAGCCAAAGTTTCACAATTATTATTACAATAGCATTTTTGCCAAACAGGTTTCCTGTCAAACTCTCTACCTACTGTGAAGTCTTTATTAATTCTAATTTATTGTTCTTATTTTAATTTACTAAAGATTCAATATTTATAACACTCACAAATTTATCAAAGTCTTTATTACTAGTAATTTATTTTACACTTAATAATTTATCTACGTGCAATACAATTTTAACGCGAGCCCGGACTTCTTTTTTGACTAACTCGCCACAATAAAAATGCTGTCATTTATATGAAACCGATAGACTAGAAAAAATCGATCGCCTTCTCGTCGAGTCAAAAAGAATCCCATGGATGTTGACCGGAATTGCCTCGAATGAACTGGAGCCTAGACTAGCTTTTTATAGCGGCTGGGGGACCCATCGGTTATTACCTGCGTCTCCGCCTGCCGGTGCATGATCTAGAAAATACTTGAATAGGAAAGATATTAATCATAATATATTTACAGTTTTATATACCATAATATTTATTATCGCAACATTGCCCCCCTCTTAAAAGATGGTTACTCCTGAAACCTTGTCGGGACTGGAACTGGAACGGCATGCTGGTATCGGCAACTGGACCCTCTTTTACAACTTTCAGTTGTATAAAAATGACAAGGGACGGTTTTCTCTCTGCACCAGTAACTATGCGGCTTGCAACAGACTAACGCCTGGTCTTCGGTGTCTTTAAAGATCTCCTCCACCATATTTCGGACAACCTCCAATCTAATTGGCGGCAATCCAACAATGGCATGCCTAACTTTTGCATGTCGAACTCTAGTATGTGCTCTCTCAATTGAAGTAAGGCCTCCCATAAATCTCGGTAGTTAGGTTGGTCACGGGCAGTGTCTTTTGTTACCAGGTAGAAAAGGTAACGTGATGCATCTTGGAGTTTCAAGGCTTTTCCGGGAGCTGTCACTTGGCATTGAAGTTCTGCAACTCTACCGAACTTCTTTCGAAAGACGGATGCCAACCCTGGTGAATCTTTGATACTGGCCGGGATGGTAAGGGCCAGCGAGTAGTCATCGGGAAACGCAAGTAGATCTTGCCTTTCTTCAGTGGTAACACAATGTCTTGCTTTATCAGTACCTCCATAGGCACCCATGAATTCCTCAAACCTAAGGTCAGACACATCTTGGACTTGGTTTACTTCCACTTCTTCATCTACGTCGTGGTCACCTTCGAAAGACGCCAGCCGGTTATGGTGTACTATCATCGGCTTTCCCCTCGAAATCTTGCTTATTCGGTAAATGACATCATTGACCTTTTCCATAATGCGGTATGGACCTTCCCAAAACTGCTGCAACTTGGGAGAACAACCTTTTCGCTTTTTGGGATTATAGAGCCAAACTTTGTCGTTCTTCTTAAAACACCCCTTTTCGGCTTGCGTATCGTACCGTTTCTTCATTCGGTCACTAGCGATCTGGGGATGGGAACGGACCAACTCGTGTACATCGTCCATTCTTCTTCGTAATTCGATCACATAATCTTCACCTGCTATATCTTCTCCAGGTCGACACCCAAACTCTAGATCACAAGGTAGTCGCATCTCGCGTCCGAATAGGACTCTGGCTGGTGTCTGGCCTGTTGATTCGTTAACAGCAGATCTGTAGGCTATTGTGAAGAACGGAAGATATTGGTCCCAGTCTCACTGATGATCGGACACCATCTTTGTCAAATACTTGCCAACTGTCCTATTCATCCGTTCTACCATACCATCCGATTTCGGATGATAAACCGTAGTTCTTGTTTTCTTCATGCCTAGTCTATCACATATTCCTTGGAATAGATCGTTTTCGAAGTTCCTGCCTTGGTCACTATGGATCACCAAAGGCACTCCAAATCGGCTGATATATTCTTGGATCAACTTATCTGCACCGGTGGCGGCCTTCTGGTCTGAAGGTGCGTAAATCTCGACCCACTTAGTGAAGTAATCCATTACTACCGACATGTACTTGCCTCCATTTTCAGTTTCTGGAAATGGCCCAGCAATGTCCAAAGCTATTCTTTCAAACGGGCTTCCAACATTATATTGTCTCATAGAAGCTCTCTTTTTTCGATAAGGCCCGGTACTCGTAGCACAAATAGTACATTTTGTTACACCAGTCTTTAACATCGTCGGAAGTGTTCATCCGATATAAACCGTTCCCGAATTCGCTGAAGGGTCTTCTTTAACACCAAAACGCCCTCCTGCTGGACTGTCGTGTAACTGACGAAGTACTTCGGCTATTCTTCTCTTGGGATCACCAACTATCTTCTCTTCTCTGAACCGTCATCATTTTTCAGGACTCGTTTGAGCATGCCATCTTCCATGATAAATGAGTCCCACTGGGCCCAATACGTCTTAATTACTGAGAATAGGTTTGATATTTCTTGCCAAGGTGGTCGACGGTTTTCCTCTTTCCATTTTAGAATTTTCTGTACAACTGTATCTCTCTCTTGTTCTTCCCTTACCTTGGCAGGCGTCCAGTGCCAAGTAGCACTGCTGCTTCCTTGGATTCCGTTTTGTTGCAGTGGGAACACTCTGCTGGACATGATCTTCTGGAAAGAGAATCAGCGTTTCGGTGGCTAACTCCGGCCGGTGCTCAATCTTGAAATCGTATTCTTGGAGTCGTTCGATCCACCTGGCTATCTGACCCTCTGGATTCTTAAACGCGGCATGGTCGGTTCGGATTAAAATCTTCCTTCCATACAGGTATTGATAGAAGTGCTCTACTAATTTCACTACTGCCAGAAGTTCTCTTCTCGTGACGCAATAATTCAGCTCAGGTTTTGAGAGAACTTTACTTAAATATCCAAGGACTCTTTCCTGTCATCCTTGAATCTGAGACAGCACTCCTGTAATTCCCACATTACTTGCATCTGTATCTAAGATGAACTCTCTTTCTGGCAGTGGATACCCTAAAATTGGTGCTGTGATTAAATGCTTTTTTAAGGTCTCAAAGGCATTTTGGCAGTCTGTATTTCCAAGCGGTATTCTCTTGCTTCCTCTGTATGGTTACCTAATCCCATGGATGTTGACCGGAGTTGCCTCGAATATACTGGAGCCTAGACTGGTTTTTTTATAGCGGCTGGGGGACCCATAGGTTATTACCTGCGTTTCTGCTGGCCGGTGCGTGATCTAGAAAATACTTGAATAGGAAAGATATTAGTCATAATATATTTACAGTTTTATACGCCATAATATTTATTATCGTAACACTACTAAAGAATTCAATTTTTGTAGGTACCTTAAAATTATCTTTGAAGAAGATAACGAATGGCAAAAAGAGATAACTGTGATTTTGCTTACCTTCAAAAAACTCTTCGAGTTGTAGGTATCGATGCGGAGCGAATTTGAAACATCTTAACGGACTATCAGAAAAATATACAAAATATACAGAAGAGATCAAACAAGAAATAAAAAGTCTAATAAAACACTACAAATAGTAGAAAATTGATTAGAAATAAATCTAAACAAACATTATACCTATAGATTTGAAAAGTTGTAGAGTTTACCTATTTGAGATTGAAAATATGTACCTATATAGGAATAGACATGAAGTATAAAAAATAAAAGCTAGAATTACAAAAGGAAACAAAAAATATGCAATGGCCAAGAATGATAGTAAAATAAATATATAATGCTAATATAATAAATAATGTATACGTGCTAATAAAAACAAAAAACAATCTACAAGTTAATCCTTTAATCCATTTTATCATGAAAACAGAAATCATTCCTAAAATTACTAAATTATCGTATGTATTTTAAAATAGGATAGTATTTCTCTCAACCACTGATTATGCAACCCACAATACACCAATTTCAAAACAAGTTAATTATTTGACAGTGGCGCCATGACATATGTTTCTGATTAGCCTCTGAACAAAATATCTGATTATGATTTGACATATGATATGACGTGTCATCTGCTAGCCGGTATTGTTTCTAGATAATCTGTGGTGTGGTAGGATTTTTACATTTCTTATATACGAAAGAGTTTAATATAATTGTTCTACTTTTTAGTTTTATTTTTCTGTTTGTACCATGAGTAACAAGAATGCCTCACAGTATATTTTGCCCAACAACCAGCCTGTGGTCTCTTTGGAAGTCAAATCTGCATTCGATGGCCTAACTACAAAAGAAAAATTATATGCCCATTATATTAGCAAAGCTTCATGGCACGGAGGTTTAATAACACTTCTCCAAACCAGCCCCGAATCGGGACCGGTATTCGTGCTTTTACATAAACTCTTTTCTTCCCAGTCACCAACAGACTTCAAAGCTAAAGCAATAAATTCTGGATTCAGTGAAGACGAAGTGACAGCCGTTTTTGTGTACTCTTGTGGGGTTTTCACTAACTCTGGAAATTACAAGGTGAGTGTATTAACCAATTAATTATCTTACATGTTCTTATAAGAGTAGACAACTGTTGCAAATCAGATCTTGTTCTTAAATTCCTTACCAGTTATTAAACTGAAGCCAAGTTATCAGACATTAATTCATAACTACATTTTTGTACCCTTGTCATCGAAAAATTGATTAAGGCTAATGTGAGAAGATTTTTTCATATGTACTACTTGTTCATATCCATGTTATTTTCTCAAAGTAACAAAATGCCTGATTTTAATCAAGGAGAAATGGTTTCCAACTCCATACAAAAAATGATGTGTCAAATCAGAACAATTTGGTTTTTTAATCATTCAGGTCTCTGTATTGTTCTGTTTATAGCAATTGTTGGTAATCAAGGATCCCTTACCTTCAGGACCTTTGGTCCAACTTAATCTGTAAGAATGACTAAACAAGATCTTTACAATTAAGTGATGACTACAGGTTACATTATAAGTATTTATAACTAGATACTATACACTGTAAGATCAACAGTTTAGAAGTCAAACATACAATATTCTCTAGGAAAATTTGAGTCTATACCATCCTAATGTACAGTAGGTCAATCATCAGCAATACCATTTTATCACTATTTAAAGATTCTGTATTTAACTCCAGACAGGTACCTAGTTTATCTAATGTATCATTTATTTTTGCATTTGTTTTATCCCACATTCCAGTTTCATTCACTACTTAGAACTTCTGTTAAATATTTCATTAACTGGCAAATCATCAAGGAGATCGATAAAAATAAAGATAACAAGAATGGAACCTTAAGAAATTTCTATCTTCATTCTATAAAGTGGCATATGAATATCTCCCAAATGGATCAAGCCCATCAGGGTTTTGTAGTTCTCAAATGTTTTAGCACAATACAAAAATAACTTATATTAATATCAAAGTAAAAGGAAAAATCTCAGTGGTTGGCTGTATACCATATTTTAAGCAACTTACAGAGAAGTAAAGAGTTCTGGTGTATGGTGATATATTTTATTAAAATATTTAAAATGTGTCCAAAAGGATCACAAATCTTCAAAATGTTTTCAGTCAGTCAGAAACATTTTAAAGGTAGTTGAAACTAGTTTTAAAAAATAGGTGTGAAAATCTTTGAATTACATGACAACCATGGTTAATTGTAATAATATAATGACACGATCGGTACTCACCGGAGGGACCGCAGATGTTCGGATACAATTAGCGTCTCTTAGCAAAGACAATGACGTCGACTTTGCTACATATCAAGACAATTACTCTACACACACATACACACTACACTAGGTACCTAGTGTAGTGTGTATGTGTGTAGAGTAAGCAGAGAAAAGCACAAAGAACAGATGAACAAATCCAACAAGATAACTTGTGTTGTGAGCATGGCGCAATTGCGTGAATGAAAATCACAAGAGGCACAAGCTGAAAAATTATAATTAGAACAAAGACAAGTGCACTGTTTCTTAGTCACAGAGCAAATGGCTGACAATACCAACAAATACAATGATTATTTAGATCCGATTTGTTCCTTCGTATAACTTTCTAGTATGAGCCGAATATTGTATATTATACTATATATTAGTCTATGGACAAGAAATATCCCTATTGTCATGCACTTAACTTTAGTCAGCCAGGATGTGTTGCACATTAGGAAAAGTGCAACTGAAACTCCACTTAAACTATTGAATGGCTTAGCTATTGGTATGGATGCAAATTCAAACTTGTTCCTGAAGTCTTAGCACATTTAATTCATACTTTCAGTAGCTTTCAGTTGTTCACATTAATTAGGCAAATGGTTAACAATTATCGGTTGTTCTTTTGTTATTTTTATAGGTTATCATTAACCATGCTCCATTTCTCTTTCAGTTAGAGATCTTATCCCCACATACTTACAATAAGTTAGTTATTTTTTATTTATCTACCACAATATTCACGAGAAATAATTTTATATCAGTTTTATCATTTATATTACTTAAATTCCTAACGAACAGTATTTTGTAAACAAAAAAGATTGTAAAGTCATGCACAAACATCTGGCTGCCAAATTAAATCTATTTTTGTTTGTATGATGTTTAACTTTCATGTAAACAGAAATAATCATGGGATAAAAATGGAAAAATGTATGCTAAATTAAACAAAAGCATTTATTAATAGCTATAAAAAGGGGTTATTATTTATTTAAAACTTAGTGAATGAGAAAATATTTAATTAGTAAATTTCATAAGAAGTACTTAAATGTAAACATTTGGTAAGGTTTATTGATATTGTTTAGTCTTAATTAAAGTAAGTAATAAAACAAAATACAAGGACCATCTTTAAAATATCCAATCTACAACCAGGGTAATAATCTATCATCAGTATGGACCTTACGTGAGATGGAGTGAGAAACACCTGTTTAAAAAGGGAAAGGTATATTAGGTCCGCCCTTTACATCATCGAAAATGCATTAGTAGAAATAATAAATTCTACAGAAGAGGGGAAGTTCAATGTTGCCAAACTTATTGGTTTAATTTTATTTTATTTTAGCATTTGAACAATGTTCTAAGATAGTCAAGTTTAGATAAATTTATTTAAATGTCTGTTTACTGTTTTTTACTGGGAATATGCCACAATTTTTCTTTAAAATAAGTTTAACTTTTAACATTTTAATTTCCACTTGGAAATTCAAATACGTTGATTCAACGTTTGATTTCAACGTTTCAACGTTTTTGTGATTGAAAAATACGTTGGTCAACGATGTAGTTACGCTGTGTAGTAATTTGAAGTGTCGAGGAGAACTGTATACAGAATTCTAAAAAAATTTCAACAAAGTGAAGGCAAATCGCATAATGTATCATGTATCTCTTTAAAACATTGAATGATGACATCAAATATGCTATTTGAAGGAAATTCCACGCTTTATTTTTTCGGAACGAAATCCCAACCTTAAAGAAAGGTGAAGTCAAAATAAATTCCGGTGATTCAATACCCACAATATCACAACGTGTTTTATTGCGAACATTAGGGCAAATAAACATCAAATATGTGAAAATAAGCAGGAACATTGTTCTTATATAAAAAAAAAGATGAAATTATCTTGTGGCGGAGACATTACTTACAAATAATCCGAGAGTATCGTTGTAAATGACAAAAAGTGTACTATTTAGATAAAACTTGGCTGAGATTATACTGTCCCAAAGATGTGAAAAGATTTTGAAATTAAAAGTCGTCGGCAAACCTTCATTGACGGATAACAGATTTAAAATCACCAATGGGTACAAGACGGAGGCTCATAATAACACATTAGTAGCCAGAGATTTTGGTTTTTTGTACAACGGCTTGTTATTACTCGAATAAAAAACAACAACGATTATCATGAAGAAACGGACGCTCAGTTGCGACGGTTGGTTTTCAAAGATTTTACCAAACCTTGAAGCAAATTCTACCATTTTTATGGACAATGCGTCATACCACAGTCGAAGTTTGCTGACTCTCTCAAAAAATATACCATTCGTTGACATGTTAAAAGTACAAATATTAAATCTCGCGAGAATACACATATCTACCCAAATTCAAGAAATGGCTCCTGAAAACAACATAACAACATAGAAGAGGTGAAGAGTTTGTTAGCTACTGCCATAAAAAATGTCACACCTAAGTCTTCCAAAAGTTTTATAAGATTCATTATAAAAGAAGCGGATAGAATTTGGGATTTAGACACAAGAGTGGAAATATCGGTTGAACCATTAATTAGCAATGTAAATAGTAGTGATCGTGATACCTCTTCATCATCCGACGAGTTGTCTTCATACTATGATTAATAATTTGACTTCCTGTGGAGGTCGAACTACTTTCTTAAAATTAAATTCGTAAAGTAATTTTCGTATATAACTGGTTGAGGCCAACCCTTACTATTACAAGTTTAATAACATTTTCGATTATCCCATCCAACTTGCACATATTTTCTATTTTTAATGCATGTGCAACAGTGTTCTCCCAATTTTTTATGTATGTAATCCATACTGGTTTACAATAGGAGCTGGACGTAGCCAATTTTAAATGTTACCTTCTTCCAGGCTATGTATCCTCTCATTTTTCATTTGGATTCAACTTGTAATGCTAAGGTGGTCTCAAAGCAACAATACCATGAAGCCTAGCCATTGAATCAACAAATATTTTTATCAAAAAATTGATATTTGCCTCTAATTTCATAACATACATATCTTTCGTATCCTAAGTAAGTGCTGTAGGTCAGTTATTTTTAATTTTCCGTGAATTCCTATACCTACATAGTACAGATGGGAATACCATTCAGTAATGCTTTTAAGAATTTTATTCTACCTTTGTTATTTTAACTTTTTTTTAATGTATTTAAATGCGGTCGTAAAAAGGTTGTACAATTTATTTTATTTTAGGGTTTTGGAGATACAAAATTCATTCCGAACCTCGAGAAAGACCGCTTTGGGGCCTTATTAAAACTTAGTCCAATTTGGCCTGAATTAGAACCAATCTGGCTTCAGTTCAAAGATAGATTATATGACCTAGAAAATGGAAAAAGTTGTTTGGGATACAGCCCCACTGGCATTACTACGTACTTGTCACATAATTGTACTCCAGAAGATAATGAAAAAGTTCAGAACTGGCTCAAGTCCCATAATATGGAATGCTATAATACAAGACTGTTCAAAACTGTAGTAGGTGATAAGGTAACTATGTGTTGATGTTATATGATACACTATTCTTATTTTTAAAAATGTATAGATTGTTTTCTGCAGTTGTTTATTGCAGTGTAAAACAAAAGTTGTTGATTTAAATTAATAATATGTTTAAAATTGAAGTGTGTTTTATATAATAAAATTAAAAGTAGAAGAAGAACTAATTCACCCTACTGGAGCTGGTAATAGGATAAGACAACTAGATTCCCCGAGTCCTCTATTATTTATGGATGATGTTTAGGAGCAGTTTAGGACTGATTATGGATGAAATAATAAAAAAGTAAGAACTAAAAAAATATATCAAGTGGGAGAAAAACAGCTTAAAATAATTTGCTATGCAGACGAAGCAATACTACTCACTCAAAGTGAAGATGATTTACAACGTATGCTGCACCAATTTAATATAACCGCCAGAAAATTGAACATGGTAATTTCCCCAATAAAGACAAAATGCATGGTTATAACAGCAAATTTACTAAGATGTATATTGAAGCTGGAAGGTCAGATAAAAGAACAAGTGATGGAGTTTTAATATCTAGGCATCACATTATCTAGCTACGGAAAACTCAAAATAGAAGAGGAAGATCAAGTAAATAGAGCAAACAGAGCTGCAGGTTGCCTGAATGAAACAATATGGAGAAATAAAAATATCGAGAAAGAAATGAAAGGCAGAATTTAAAAAACAGCCATAAGACCAATAATGACATACGTGGCAGAAACATGACCTGACAGAGTCATGTCGACATAAAAAGAAGAAGAAGAATTCTTCTATTAGACTGATAAGAGTAGCAACTAGACAAAACACTACAAAAATACTGTGCAATATTAAAACTCAAGAGAGTTAAAATATGAATTAGCATGACAGTAGGTAGGATGGTAAAAAATATGAAAATTATCATTCAACATTCAACCTACTAATATATTTTTTTTATTTGTTTTAGATTACCTATGATATTAGACTGGCGTCTGAAGACAAAAAAGTATTAAAGACGCACACTGATGGCAATATAACATATCAGATATCATGTGGAGATTATTCTCCTTTAATAGGACAAGTTGCCAAAGATCTTGGTCAAGCTATAGAATATGCTGCTAATGAGAATCAAGTTGATATGCTCAAAGCTTACATTTCATCGTTTCAAACTGGGTCTCTAGATGATCACAAGTTGGGTTCTAGATATTGGATTAAAGATAAAGGACCTGCTGTAGAAAGTTATATTGGATTTATAGAAACTTACAGGTATTTCTTTATTTTGCTTTTTTTAAGGTTAACATTCTTTTTAATCTTGAAGCATGTTTAAAATTTCTTTAAATTATTCCCCTTAGAAAATTACTTTTACGCTACCTATGTTAAAAACCTTAAAAATAACGTAAGAGCAACGTGCGATTTGTCATGCCTTTTTTTTAAACGAAATAGTTCGCCAAATGTTTCCCTGTTTTTTTTACCTTTCATTTTTTAAACAGAAACCCTTCTTCTTAACAAAGAAGTCAGTTCCCATTGTCGAGTACACAGTCTACATTCTAAGGAAAACGGAGATGTTGGTTTTCGATGAAATAATCTTTCCTGTCGAGAGAAATTATTTAGAATACAAATACGACCACACTAGCCTTGTCATTTAAGTATCATTTTCGCGTGGCACTATTGGTGGTGTATTTTCAATTCACCATTATCCATATATTTTCATACAGTGCTTCCTATATTAACTATTTTCTCTTTTGTCAAACAGACGTCTTCCAATTCGAGGACACGAAGTCACTTCTGTTTACCGTTATTACTACTACCTGTGTTACTACTACCTGCATTACTGCTACCTGTACTTCTACTTGCTTTTCTTGTTCTTCTGCTTCTCTATCTTCCCTTTTCTTCCTGCCTACATCAACTTGAGATTTTTCGGATTGAAGCTACCGTAATTCGTTACCGTACCTAAATCATCCACGCCGCTTGGGAAGCCCCAATGTACCCGTTGCGAGGGCAACGCGTCAAGTGCCTTTATTATTGAGACCGTTCTATGAAAGACGTCATTACTTGTGCCTACTTGCTGCCGACTAAGTATAATACAGATTATTCAATTGTGAGTACCAACATTTTTAACTAAATCGTTAGGAGTTGAGTTATGACTCCAGTTCATTGACTTTACTTATTTATGATTGTTTATGTTGAATCCAACCGAACAAACTATTATTAGTATAAAACTACGGTATAATATATACGCTATCAAATACTGACGTAGATACTATTATAATATTCCTTACATTTTGTTATTCTTGAGGATACTAAATTATTCATAATTATTTTTCAAAAAGATATTTTTTGTTTGTATTAGGTAAATAATGAATTGTGCAATAACTCATGCCATTTAACTGTTCAGTAAAAATTGTTATAGTGCATTTACTTTAACTATACCTCAGTACAACTTTGTTGATGAACTATTAATTTGCCTTTTATTTTTTTATTATGTATAAAAATTTATTTTTTGTGTATGATGTATCTATAACAACATTGTTATTGATTTATATTACTATTTGATTTATCATATAAACAGTGTATGTGTCGAAATATTAAGTGTGTACTGCGCAATCATAATAACTTTTCTCTCACGGTTTATGTTATTCTGGCGTGATTATCTTACCATAACTTTCTTGTTATCTTATTCTATATGTCGTAAGGTTTCCCTGTTCCTCTAAAAATAGGGTGGTGCCCAATTATTTCCCTTCTCTTTATCTTCAGTACTTCTCTAACTGATTATTTGTATTTGAGCTATAATAAGAGCCCCAACCAAGAGGCCTCTACCAGACTGAATCCCGAACCTAGTACCGTTCCCTCTGTAACCTTTACTCTTGCATTAAAGAGGATACAATCTATAAAACTATCAAGGTACTTTATACCTTTCTATTTGATCTCTTGATTCAAATATTATTAATAGGTCATCTTCAAATTTAGACTGCTTATGTTCAGTATAATGAGAGAAAATGTAATAATCGTTTTTGCTCTAGGGATCCCGCTGGTGTTAGAGGAGAATTCGAAGGATTTGTAGCAGCTGTAAATAGAGAAATGTCAGCCAAATTTGCGACCTTGGTCGGTAATGCTGAACAGTTTTTAACACTTCTCCCTTGGAATAAGGGATTCGAAAAGGACAAATTTTTGAAACCTGATTTCACATCGTTGGATGTTCTCACTTTCGCTGGCAGTGGAATACCAGCCGGTATAAATATACCAAATTGTAAGTAATATTTTTTAAACTTTATGACCAATAGTAATAGAAAAATTAAGGAAAAGATTTTTTGAAGAGACTATTATATTTATTAACACAATTTCTAACTGCAAACCTAAGGAGGAACGAGAGGCATTCTACGAACAATTGCAAACCATCCTGGATCAAATACCTCATGAAGAACCCTTAATTTTATGGGTGCATTTAATGCACGAATCAGAAATGAAATAGTTCCAGGAGTAAAACAAAGATTTAATGAAAACTATGTCAACGCAAATAGAGAACTCATGGCTAATCTCTGTGCTTTTAATGAACTGAGAATCAATAATACATTTTTTGAACTTAAGCTCCAGAATATACATTTGAAAACTCCAGGGGGCACAAATCTATGATTGATTTTATAGTCACTAACAGAACAACCCACCCAAAGCAGATTCTAGATATCCAAACTTAAAGCTCAGCACACGCAGGGAGTGAACACAAACTAGTACTAGAAGGATAAGAATGGAAATAACACAAAATTATTTTCTACAGGAAATCACCGAGGAAAAACTCAATGTAGAATCGCTGTGGAATGGCACTACAAGAGAAATGTACCAAAAGGGGCTAGCTCAGAAGATACAGCTGAAACAAATAGACGACATTGAAGATATAAACTCGGGCTGGGAGAAAATTAAAAACAACATTGAAGAAGTAGCAATAGAAGCTCTAGGAAAACGCAAAGTCATACTGAACAAAAGAAACAACAACAATACACCATGGTTCAGAAAAGAAATAAAAGAGAAAGGAGAGGAGAAGAGAAAGTACAAAACATCAAATACTCCAGAATCCGAGACACCTATAAAGGAATACGAAATGAAACAAAGCAGTTGGCAATAAGAATAAAAAGTGAAGACTAAGAACAGTTTACAAAAAGGATGGAAAGCGATTTCTACGGTACACAAAAAAAATTTGAAGATTCATAAGAAACCAACGGAAAGAAATGTCACAATTGAAGGAATACAATAACATACCAGCAAACGAATGGGAAAGATACCTGACGGAACACTTTAAAGGAAAGGAAAATAGTAATCAACACAATAACGTACCTGAATTAAGACACGACATACAAATCAGTTTTTAGGAAGTAGAAATAGCCATAAATTCACTCAAAAATAGAAAGTCGTCAGGACCAGACAGAATAACCAACGAGCTTCTAAAACACGGAGGAGAAAGTATAACGTTAGAGATGACAAAACTTATACAAAAGCTAATATTGCACTGCACGATACCAGATGCATGGAGAAACAGCATAATGATACCAATGTTAAAGAAAGGAGATAAAGAAGACCCCAACAATTATAGAGGTATGAATCTATTGAACGCCGCACTTAAGCTTACCACAAAAGTACTAACCAACAAAATCAATATACCAACAACTTTATCAGATACACAACAAGGATTCAGATCCAGAAGATCCTTCGTAGACGCCGTATTTGTACTAAGACAAATCACAGAAAAGGCCATCGGGTACAATAAACCAGCATATCCATCGTTTATAGATCTGACAAAGGCTTTCGATCGCATCAAAGTCAAAGATGTCTTACACCTGCTGTATAAAAGAAACATATTAATCAATATTGTTCAAACCATCGAAAACATCTACTTTCATAATCGAACACAGGCAAAGATGACTGAAAAACTAACACAGTGTATACCAGTACAAAACGGAGTGAGACAGGGTCACTCATTAAGTCCACTTCTCTTTAATATAATAATGGACGGAATAATACAAGCAGTATGTAAAGGTCATGGCTACAGAATGGGAAACAAAGAAATCTTAATATTATGTTATGCAGACGACGCCACATTAATCGCCGAGACAGAAGACTAGCTCCAAAGATTAACAGATATCTTCAACACAACAGCTAAGAAATACAATATAATAATATCAGCAGAAAAAACCAAATGTATGAGAAAATCTAAATATCCACTACGATATAAAATTCAAATTGATGGGAAAATAATAAATCAGGAATCAAGGTTTAGATATATGGGAATAGATATAACTAGTTATGGAGATGTTGAAGAAGAAGTACGACAACAAAGCTTGAAAGCAAGTAAAGCGGCGGGATCTCATAATCTGGAAGAACAAACACCTAAGACAAGACACAAAAACAAGAATCTATAAAGTAGAAATTAGACCTATATTAACATACACGGCGGAGACAAGACCTGATACATCTAAAACGGGACGACTACTAGAAACAACAAAGATGAAAATACTCCGACGAATATCAGGGAAAAGTCTGTTCGATAGAGAGAGAAGCGAAAGAAGAAGAAAAAAATTTCTTTTGGATGTTATTGAACATAAGTTTGAATACATAAAAGAATTTTTTTTTCGATCTTAATGTATCTTTACCGCTGTAAAAAGTGTTGCTGACGTAGTGTCTGGCTTCAGAAGTGAATATAGAATGCCTCAATTGCCGATCCAATCCAACAATTTATAGGAAAGCATCAAACCGCTAGTTTTAACGGCTTTAACGAATTTTCATAAAGTGGACATATTTCTTGACGTAATTATAATTTTTTTAGATGATGAAATTCGTCAATCGGAGGGATTTAAAAACGTTTCCTTAGGAAATGTAATTCCCGCTAGTTATCAGGCATCAGTAACACCATTTTTAACCCAACAAGACGCAGACCTCCTACAAAAATGGCGAGTTCCTGCATTTGAACTTCAGGTTAGTCTAAACAACTTTAGTGTTCTTCTAATAATCTGGTAATTCGTCCCTGTCTAAAAGCATTGTAATAAGCAGGTATATGTCTGTCTTTCTTTGTATATATCTTTGTAACAAAACAAAATTAACAATAAAAATTTCCCTTTTATGGTTACGAAAAAGTAGTAAAAATTAGAATAAACAAGTTAAAATTTGTCCAGAAGTATAAATTTTATTACTTGATTATTGTTTTCAATAAAATGTAAAATATCGATTTGGGTTGTTTATAGCTGAATTTTAAATTTTTAAGTTGTTCTAACTTTAAATATTCAAAATAATTACAATTTTCCAAACTTTTTCAGTCCTATCAGACCGAATGATGCCTAAAAGTACGAGGGTAGATTGATATAAAACTAGCCTTTGATAGAAAAAACAAGTTTTTTGGAATTAAATCGATTTATGTCTCAGCATAGTTCTGGGGAAACAAGATCTGTGGAATACGGTGGGTATTCAACCAATTCATATCCCAATTCGTGTAATTTTGCCATGGCGACGGCCGATCGGTGAGCCGGTGCATGGTCTTGGTGAAAGAGCACTTTTTTGCGTTCCAGACCGGGGCGTTTTCGACGCAATTCGGCATCGAATCGATCCAATAATGCTGCGTAGTACTCACCATCGATTGTTTTTTCTTTTTCCAGAAAACAGTCGCCATCACTTTGCCGGTCGAATTTGCCTTCTTCGGCGGCCCAATGCGTTTTCGCCAATGTTTCGACTGTTCTTTGGTTTCCGGTGTGTAATAATGCACCCAGGTTTCATCAACAGTTATAAATCGGCGAAAAAAATCCTTCGGATCGCGCCGTATCATCGCCAAAAGCGTCTCCGAAGTGGTCTCACTTTTTTGCATTTGATCGATTGTCAGCAAACGCGGCACCCCTCGCACGGATAGCTTTTTCATGTCCAAATGATAGTGAATGATGTTGTGTATGCGTTCGTATGAAATGTTTAGGGTCTCTATTAACTCACGGAGCTTAATTCGACGATCTGCCATAATCATGTCATGGACTTTGTTGATCATTTCCGGCGTGGTGACTTCATTTGGCCTCCCGGGACGCTCATCATCAAAAACGCTCGTATGACCACGAACAAGTTCAGCTTTCCAAAATTTTACTGTTGCTAACGAAGGTGCAACCTCACCATAAACTTCGTCCAGGTCGGCTTTGATTTGCACATTCGTTTTACCCTTTTTGTGGAGGAACTTAATCACCGAATGATACTCGACTTTTTCGATTTCTCCGAAAACACAAAATTTGATTACTTTTGACTGCTGTAAAAATCAAACTAATTGTTTTTAAAACTTAAAATTTTGACAGACGTCATGTCATGAATGGCAAATGTCAACACCGAAACCAATTCGGTATCAAGTAGCGCCATCTATCAAAGGCTAGTTTAATATCAATCTATCCTCGTAACTCCACTTTCATTTAATGAACAAAAGAGGTAAAATTTTGACTGTTTATACATAAAAAACATTGATTTAAAACTTTGAAACGGTATAAAAAACTTTGATTTGCATTTTAAATGTTATAAAAATTTAGAATAAAGCGACGTTTTTTGTTTAAACACTATTTACACTAAACGCATATTAATTGTAATTATAAATTAATTACTTACTTTACCAGGTAGGACTTCACGAACTTCTAGGACACGGATCCGGTAAATTATTAAGAAAAGAAAAAGATGGTACTTTGAACTTCCCCTCCGATCTTCTAGACCCTCTCACTGGCAAACCTCCGGCATCATACTACGAACCAGGTGACACCTACGACAGTAAATTCGGTCCATTAAGTTCAACTTATGAAGAATGCAGGGCAGAAGCTGTAGGCCTCTATTTAAGTCTTGATCCAGATGTACTAAGAATATTTGGACACGAAGGTCAGCAAGCAGAAGAAATTACTTACGTTAATTGGCTCTCCCTTGTGTGGGCCGGAGCTGGAAAGGGATTGGAATTGTGGGAGCCTGGTAGAGGATGGTTGCAAGCACATGCACAGGTAAGATTATATTGGCAAAGTATTCACTATATTTGACATTATGTGCTGTAAGAACAATGGTTTTGTAAGATATGGTTGTGATGCGAAATCCACAAGGAATTACAAAAGGTAATTACAGTAGACTCCCTTGCGTTCGAACACCTCGGAACCGGACCTCCGGGCAAATTGCCATTGCCATAAACTGGGTTTTTCTGTATACAGTACTATTTGCACTGGACAAAAGCTAAACTAGGCTACTAGCTTAAGTTATTACTCTTAACAGTAAAAAAACTTAGTTATTACTCAGCAGTTGTAGTAGTTGCAGATTTTGAGTTGTGCAATGTAATAACACGCACTGTATCTGTCTCAAACTTTTTGTTATTTAACCCTTAATATCTTGAATTATTATATTTTTGGAAAAACATATATTTTATGGTAAATTATTGTTCTTATGAGTCCTGTAGTCGAGGTTCTGAGCTTATTTTCAAAACAAAAATTAGCTAAAAAATGTTATTAGCTGTTACAATATATGTAACTCTAGGACATACAGGGAGCAAAGTAAGAAAAAGTGGTAAAGTTATATTAAATTATAAATATTTACGCATAAAAGATGTTTTACATACATCTTGTATGAAACTGCTCATTGTAATTAATACACAACCAAAAATGCGCACCGTCCTCTTTTCTTGTTCGGAATGTCTAACAAGATGTGATTTTGTCAAATCTGACGGTGTCGCTGGTGCGACTACCGAAACTGCTTGACATTGAGGTTTTCCGTTGACCTGCACCTTTAGCTTCTGTACCATACTTCATAAGATATGAAATAGCTATATCTCTGCGAAAATGGATTTGCTTTACTGAATTGCCGGTCTTCTTATAAATATGCCAATCGATTTCCGATTCGTCTAAACCATGTAAATAATGATCACCACCATTTTTTTTATCTAATACCAATCCTGTACTTTCCTATATTTTGATCTATGACTCCTCAGTACGTAGTTACTAGTGTCCAAACCAAATTTAATATTATTTTAATTATATATTAATAATAATAACCAAATTATATATTATAACCAAATGAAGAAATCTTAAGTAAAATCCTCAAGAGAGAAATAGCTGTAATAAAACTTAATAAACCTATTAACAACGTCAAGTATAGACAGATAGATTCAATGAGGTGGCTTTTGGCCTATGCCACTGCGACCTTTTCATATCTATTGTGGTCCTCTAATCCTAAATTACATTCTCTAGCCTGACCCATCGTCAAGTATGTGACGATACTTTTATATTGACCGACAATCTGGAAATTTTCAAAGACTGATAAACAAGATGATTTATTTTGCTACGTTCAACGTTTATTGTATTATGTTTATCTTCATTAGGAGTTCATATTTTGCATACTTTTTGTTTGGTTTATTAACCAACTAATTTGCTCCACTATTAAGCTGTTTTACTTTTAGGCACGTTTTGTACTATCCCGAGTATTGATTCAAGCTGGAGTAGTATCGATCACGCAACCTTCAGAAAATGACCTTTTGGTAACTTTGGACCGATCAGCAATTAAGGGAGCAGGTAGAGTAGCCATAGGCCAATTCCTGTTGCAATTGCAAATTTACAAAGCAACTGGAAATTTGGAAGAAGCCCAAGAACTGTACAATCACTACGCCGAAGTTTCAGAACCGTGGTTGAGTTGGAGGTAAGATAATTTTATTAAAATTTGGTCTTTTAACTGACTAGAGTTGTGAAAGAAAGAATAATAATTATTTTTCACTGTAGAAAGATGAAAGTGCCACGGGAATGAACGATCAAAGTTACATTTTATTTATTTTGTACAAATCGGATTTTAAAGTTTAAAGTCGTTTATTTTGGTTCAGAACAATTAATTACATTTTTAATTATCAGTTTATTACTATAAGATTTTTTAATACACAAATGAAAGAAAAATAGTTTGCTAGTTATGTATGTGTTTGAGATCTTCAAATTTTTAATTAAAGAGCTGGACTCTGATTTTTTTGCTCGGTAAATATCGTCGGCAAATATTGGTGGATCATCGACAAATGCCACATTACTACATTTATTCGTACCGGCGTGGAAAACTAGTCCTTGGTAAAAGGAATGCGTTTCAGGATTTGTCAGGAATTGAGTCAGGTGCAATAAATCATGCAACTTAGCAGTCTTAATAGGCAGAGGTTCATTATATAACTTCTTTAATGGAACAGGTTCTAATTTTCTCTTCTGTGTCTGATTTTTGAGAGAACTACCACGGCTGTAAGATCTAGGTCAAAATAGTGGTCTTTCTAGGTCAAAATAGTGGTCTCTGTATAACACAAAACTTTGTGGGTGGTCTTTTTTTTTTTCAATTTTTAGAATCCTAATAGGACTAGTTGTAGTAGGACATTTTGGTACATAGAGATGGAACAAATATTCGGTCCATGTCTGAAAGTTTACTTTATCGGCACAGTTTATTACCTTGGTGATGGTTTACTGCGACTATTCTTTAATACATCTCTCCAGTCGTCCAGTATTTCCGTATAAGATTTAGAATTTACAAGACTGCTGTCCTTATCACATTCTAGGTAAGTGTCCACGAATAGGAAATATCACTTTCACTAGGTCGAATCAGTTAATGCTTGTGCACTACATAGTGGAGAAAGCGAATTACAGTAAAATTTTTATTAGATGGCGTAAGTTTAGGTCCAAAATATGCAAAAGAATTCAGAAGTCACTCATTTTTGAGTCCTCTTCTTGGCTATCACCTTTTGTGTTATCTCCATTTTATTGTTACGGGTTGGGATGAAATGCTGTCAAGCATGACAGTGCGCCAATTCCTTAATTCCCAAGGCCAAGGCCTTAATTCCCCACTGTTCGTTAACAGTTTGGTGCATCGCTTGGGCAACAGTTAAGCACGCTGATGTTACACCTCCGGATTAGGAAGCGCAATAGTCACAATACAGTCAGTTGTAGTCTGTCTGATGATTTGCCCATTGGGCATGATGTATGTGCATCTGTATTTTGTATCTGTGTTATTTTTAACCAACAAATGTATAGTTGATGACAGTTACAACCCTTGTCATATTCTCAGTTAATTGATTAGTTACGAGCTAGGTGTCAAAAAAATAAACTTGAGTTGCAAACTGTTTTTTAACCACAGCATCAAATCCGCTTAACCACCATGACTTCTGATACTAGTTTATCTGACTCGTTTATCTGTTGATCTGACTCTTTATTCTTTTATCAGGAGAGCTCCAGGTTACCTTGTGTATGTTCTTGTTACTTTACTTTACTTACTTTATCGTGTCTGGACATGTCATTCATAAAATTTCGGCCCAATATCGGGCTGCATCGGTTCAATCTTTGTGGCGAGCCACAAATCTTCGAGGGTACATCGATGAGGACAGTTTCTGCATGTAAGAAGATTCATAGTTTTCCACGTTTTAAATTTTAAAGTCTAGGTACTGGCTGGTCCATTGAACCTGATGAAGAGGAAAATACTCATGCGGTTCATCCTGCACTGTTCCAAGGAAGCTTTTCCTGGATTTTAGTCGCTTTTGGGGTGTTCGAGTTTTGTATAGGGCATGCAGCTCGTCCGCGATCTGTTTAATTTTCTCTATGTGCTCTGCAACGCCTCTACGTGTTGAGGGTTCTACAAAACCCGCTACTTTATATAGATTTGAAAGTGGCGTTGGTTTCATGCACCTTGTTACTATCCTGCATGTCTCATTTAGCGCGGTATCAACTTGTTTGGTGTGGGCAGATCTTCCCCAAAACGGGGCACGCATATTCAGCAGTTGAGAAACATAGTGCCTGTGCCGTTGTTCTTAAAACGCCAGGACGTACACCCCTTTAATTCCCGTTAGCTTTCTGGGTATGCTGTTTCTAGTTGTTACTATCCCTCTCGTTTTTATGCAATGTTGTCTGTAGGTGAGGGACCGGCCCAGAGTTACTCCAAGATATATACGTTGGTTTATGTGTTCTAATGTATTACCATTCCACGCAATTTGGAGTTTTCGCTTGGCTTCCTTTGCGTGAAGATGGAAAGCGCACACTTGGGTTTTAGAGGGATTGGGTCTGAGCGCATAGAGGAAGTGATTGGTTTCGGTTGGTCGTTTGTGTATATATTGAGGAGCATAGGTGCTAAAACACTTCCCTGTGGGAGGTCGTTTTTTTGAACTCTCCACCTACTTACTTTACCCTCCAGCATAACGAAAAAACGTCTGTTTTGCAGTAAGGAATATACGACCTTACCCAGATGGTAGTCAATGAGAATGTCGTATAAGTTGCGGAGCAATGTTTTGTGGCTTACTCTGTCATAGGCTGCTGTCAAATCTACAAAAGCAGTCCCTGTGATAAGTTTTTCTTCAAAGCCCTCTTCAATGTGTTTTGTTAGTGCGAGGACTTGACCGGTGCAAGATTTGCTGGGTCTGAATCCTCCTTGTTGTGGGAAGAGGTGCTTGTCGACATTTTTTCTATTCTGGCGAGTATGAGTCTCTCGTATAGTTTGAAAAAGTGACACAACAGCGAAATAGGTCCGTAGCTACTGGGATTTTCTGGGTCGTTTCCTGGTTTTAATAAGGCTATTACTTTAGATTTCCTCCATGATTTTGGAATTTCACAGGTTTTGCACCACGTGTTATAAAGTTTCAGATTCCAGTTTTTTGCTCGTTGGCCTAGATGCTTTATTTCTTCACTGCATATATCATCCACACCTGCAGCTTTCCCGTTTTTTAACCTGTTCATACCGTCGTGGAGTTTTTTTTAGTGTAAAAGGAGTTCCTAATGGTTTGTCTCTGAATACAATCTTCTTCTAGTGTTTCGGTCCTTATATCGGTTCGAAGTTCTTCCATTCATAAGGAGTTGAGCAGCGACATGGTTTGCTGTAACCTTGCAAGGTGGTTTATGTTCTTTTGGATCACCGCTAAGTTTTTTACAAGGTTCCATGCTAGTTTGCTACTATGTGTCATGTCCATTTTTTCCAGGGTCTCAATCCACTTTTCCTCTCTGGCTTGATTTTGCTGTTGGAGTAGTACTGCTCCGCAGTCAACCGTTTCTTGGCTAAAAGGTTCAGTGGAATAGAGGGTTTCGAATGTTCTCTTTAGTTCTTTAAACTCATTGGACATCCCGGGAACATATTGTTGTCTACATCGTCTGGCGATAGCTTTTCTAGTCACATTTTTGAGTACTTCTACAAATTTTTCGTAGTTCTCTACTTTTGGTTCAATACGTAGCAGCTCAGAATGTAGCATGTCCGCATACATTTGCCAGTTTGCCTTTTTGAAGTTAAATCTCCTTCTAAGTGGAATAACTTGTAATCTGACAATTGGAAAGATATTTATACCAATTGGTCTATGCTGAGTTTTTAGTATGGAGCCATATACTACTTTGGTACATCGGTCTTCAAGGTTATTACTTGAAAAGCAGATATAGAAAAGCAGTTAATATCCGCTTTTCCAAACTTTGCTCTGAAAAGATGGTGGAAGTTTAGGATCATGGATTAACGTGAGGCCACTCGTTTCGACCCATGCTTCTAGTGCGTCTTCATTTGCGTCCGAATCTGCATAGCGCCAGAGTAAACTGTGACTGTTAAACTCTCCCACTACAAGCTGATTGGGCTGTGATTAGAAGTTAGTTGGGGGTGAACATATAAAAGGCTGGTTGGGGGGCTTGTATATCGAGGTTATTGTGTATTTTCCGATCTCAGTGGTTATTATCTCTATACCGTGTTTGTTGTTCCCACAGATGAGACTATGGTTTGAGTTATCACAAACACCGTGCTCCCATGATATTTTTCCATCGGAAATTAAATACCGAAATCCTAGAGATACAAACTGGCTAGGATATAGGGAGTCCCTCAGTAAAAATCTCGAGGAAAGTATGATTTTGTTTAAAGGCCCAGAGGTTATAGATTCGGCGGCAGAACCATAAGCGAAGCTATTATGGCGGCTTACCAGGAAAACTGTCCAGAAAAAACAAGGAAATGTACGGGCAGTAATACAATGTGGTGGAACAACGGCTTAAAGAGGATGAGGTCGGAAGTCCGAAGCCTATTTAATAAAACCAAAAATAGATTGGGATGCCTACAGGTATAAGCTAACGCTATACAATAAAGAAATCCGGAAAGCTAAAAGGAATTCATGGAGAGAGTTTTAAATCGAATCCATAAAGTCCTGGCAAAGGATGGTGCTACAACAAAAGAAGTAGGTTTCCTAAAGAAAGCTAATGGCAAATTTACGGACACCAAAGAGGTAAGTCTTAGAGAACTGATAAACACGCACTTTCCGGGCTCAACAATTCTGGATGATGCAGATAGGCAAACCAACGTAGACCAAAGGCTCACCAGACCAAGGTCTAACCTATCGATGCAACAGCTACTAGATATAGCTTTAACAATAAATTCACAATTAAGATACCAGGCAGGGAAGACTGGAATAAAGGTGTACCCATAAAAGCTGCTGCTACCTGGTACACGGATGGCTCAAAAACATCGGAGGGTGTTGGAGTATATAGTAGGGACATATCAAGGGATACAAGTCTATCTAAAGATGTGACAGTTTTCCAGGCGGAAATAACTGCAATCCATCACTGCGTGGAAGAAATAGAAAGGCAGGAAAGAATGTTCTGTTCAGTTGCCATCTTCACAGATAGTCAGGCAGCGCTTAAGGCACTCAATTCTGTAGAGGTCAATTCTAAGCTAGTATGGGATTGCGTGTGTGCCCTAAATAAACTAGGAGACCGTAGCAAGGTTACGGTAGCCTGGGTACCGGGGCACGAGGGTCATAAGGGCAATGAAAAAGCAGATGAAATGGCCAAACAAGGCTCATTAATGCCATACATTGGACCAGAACCCTTCTGCGACGTTGCAAAGTCAGTAACAAGAACGGCTACAAAGAAGTGGGTAGCTCACAAATCTCTGGAATGGTGGAGGAATTCACCAGGACAACGATAGGCGAAACAGTTCGTTAGAGAACATTCGCCAAAATTTACGGCATATCTAATAAGCAAAGACATGAAAACAGTCAAAGCCATAGTAGGTCTTTTAACAGGGCATTGTAAGCTGACTAGGCACTTGAAGCTAATGGGATTATCAGATGATGACCTGTGCAGATTCTGTCACCTCGAAGAAGAATCAGCAGAGCACATTTTATGTCAGTGTGACAGTCTGGCAAATGTGCGAATTTTTGCATTAGGAGAAGAAAATCCGCAGGCAAATAGCTACATGGAAGGTACAGTCTCGAAGCTACTGGACTTTATAAAGAGGGTCAGGCTAGAGAATGTTATCTAGGACTAGAGGACCACAATAGATCTGAAAAGGTCGCAGTGGAATAGGCCGAAAGGCCACCTCTCTTAATCTAATCTAACCGTGCTCCCATGCTTATTTTGTGGTATTTCCGCAATCAGTTTCATACCGGAGACTTTCGGTCTCGCTGCAGTTAGGTCTCTGTGGGTTTCCTGGATGCACAATACCTCTCATTTCGTGTTCTTGCAGAATTCTGATAAGATGTCTTTGGCTGTAGGTGATGCCCTCGATATTTATGCTTGCTACTATCAGTGTGGGCTGTGAGAAGAACCTTTGTGGCTTGTTGTTTGCCATCTGGTTTGGATTGGTCCGGTGTTGTTGTCTGGCGTATGTTCTTATGCTCAAAATAGGTGCTAGCGACTGTCATATTTTCATTTTCATATCTATATACATACATACAGTTTCATTGTTAATTTGTATTTATGTTTAATTACTGCATTTTGATTATCATTATATTCTAAAAAATGTTATGCATTTTAAAAATTGATAAATTTACCAAAGATTTTTTTTTTCATTTGCACATATTTCCCTTGATGATAAATATGTGGGATCTGATATGTTCGAAATAATTAATACAAAGTTGACACACATGTTTTTGTTCAAAATCAAATTGTTGTCACTAAACCTAATATTAACGTCCAATCTTCATTTATTATGAGCAATTTAATATTTTAGGTCAATTGTATTAGCCAATAAACAACCAAGAAAAATGTTTGTCCAAGCCAATACCTCTACAGCAGAAGATGGCGTTAGCTTGAAATCATACGAACCGTCACTAGAAGGTTTGGTTCAATCTTGGGTGGAAAGGTTTTCAAAGCCACAACAATTGTATGATGCCTTGTTACAACTTTCAAACGCTGATGCTGCTCATTTTTAGAAAGTGTCGTAAATTATTAACAGGTCATTATAACTGCTTTGTATTACAACTGTATTATGTTTATATTTCTTTTGATCGATAATTTGATTGATGTTAGTGAAAAAAAAGACATCAGTAAAAGTTGTAAGTCATAATTTTTATACCAATGATATTTTGCAGATTTTCCATATTATTCGTATATACACATATAACAAACGCCAATAACGGTAATGTGTGTTTAATACAAACTATTTTAACGCAATTGGTTAATTAAATCTGGACCATGGAACAGGGGCTAGACCGAGCTTCCAGTCGTTTCGTTGCTAGAAGTAGTCCTTTGAGTGGAGGTTTGTTGAATGACATGTCATTCGCAACCACTTGTATACTCATCATAATTGGTTTATTGCATTTACTTGTATTATCTATTTAAATCTAACTAATTAGATTTGCTTTTATTTATTAAAAAGTCCCTTTATTCCTTTTAATATATATTTCGTATAACAAATAACGTACTACCATTTATTAAACAAGAAAAATGATTCAAAATGAATAAATTGATTTTTTTTATAAGTGTATAGTGAACCTTCTTTTTTACTGCATTCGATTTATTAAATTTTAGTAAATATTGAGTCTTCCACTATTAAAATAATTTAATGACTGAACATCATATTGGGAGAAAAAGAAGTCGTGTTATATGTGTAATAATATTTGGTGGTCACTCATAGCTTTATTTATGGCTTCCGCTGAAGGTATATACAGATACCTACACTTTAAAAAGTATTATTTTTATTAATTATAGCCTTGTTATAGTTATGTAAGTTATGGTAACCTGTTAATAAAGGAATCTTCATGTTGGTTTCTGTTTTATGTCTCAAAAATAAAAGTATATCATATTTTTGAAGTAATTTTATTGGTTTATATGGTTTTGTATATTATTAAAAGCTTGATATTTTTCAAATTTCTATGTATAAATATTATTAAAGAATGTTTTACACATGACAGTGTTTCATGTTTCGTTATTTTATATATTACCTTTTTCCATCCTGGTTCACAAAGATTTAGTTTGGTAAAATTCTGCGACGGATTAATATCCTTCGATGTCCATAAGAGAGAAAAGGATCCGGAAAATGACGAAGTTTTTACATTCCACAGATACATGGGTGGATTGATGTAAAACTAGCCTTTGATAGAAAAAACAAGTTTTTTGGAATTAAATCGATTTATTTCTCAAGATAGTCCCCTTTTAGCTCGATACACCTAGTAAGACGATATTCCAATTGTTTATCCCATCCGAATAGTACTTTTGCTCGAGCTCTTCAAAATAGGCCGAAGTTTCAGAGACGACTTCATCATTTGTTGCGAAACGGCGTCCCCCGAGCCTTTTTTTAGGTTTGGAAAAAAAAAAGTCGGTCAGATAGCTCAGCGGGCTGTTCGGCTGCCTCTCATTCGCTTCACTGTCGAATGGTTCAGTGGATGTGGGTCGAGCCCCAGCTCGGTGTACGGAAAACAAAAAGTCTAACGCAGCAGTTTAAAATTCTAGATGAATCTGCAGCTTAGACTAGGATATGCTGGGATCTGATCGGCCTATGGTGGAGCAGTACGGCAAGAGATAAGGGCTTGCGGCTCGGTGATACTCCTCCATAGATCCCTACCGGACGGGCGTAACGCCTAAAAAAACCGGATATATATATATATATATATATATAATATATATATATATATATATATATAAAGGAAAAAATCGCTGACGGCAAGATCTGGGGAATACGGTGTGTGTTCAACCAATTCATAGTGTGTAATTCTGCCATGGCGACGGCCGATCGGTGAGCCTGTGCATTGGTGAAAGAGCACTTTTTTGCGTTCCAAACCGGGGAGTTTTCGACGCAATTCGGCATTGAATCGATCCAATAATGCTGCGTAGTACTCAACATCGATTGTTTTTTCTTTTTCCAGAAAACAGTCGCCATCACTTTGCCGGTCGAATTTGCCTTCTTCGGCGGCCCTTCGATGCGTTTTCGCCAATGTTTCGACTGTTCTTTGGTTTTCGGTGTGCAATAATGCGAAATCATGGACTTTGTTGATCATTTCCGGCGTGGTGACTTAATTTGGCCTCCCGCGGTGCTCATCATCAAACACACTCGTACGACCACGAACAAATTCAACTTTACAAAATTTTACTGTTGCTAACGAAAGTGAAACCTCACCATAAACTTCGTCCAGGTCGGCTTTGATTTGCACATTCGTTTTACCCTTTTTGTAGAGGAACTTCCAGATTCATACCTGAATGTGAAGTAGGAATACGTCTTTAGGAAGAGAATGAAACAAGAATTAGCCCTCTAACATTTTTTTGACAATCATATGAGCATTCAAAGTTAAAGGTCGTGGGATAAACTAATTAACGTGTCTCAGCAAAAAATTAAGCAATTTAGGTCTACTTGGGCTCATTCGATTCGTAATTTTATAGGCTTGAATGTAATGTATTTGAAATAAAAAAAAACAATTTTGCAATAAATATTACGTTTTTTAATTTTAACCTTCATTCGTCATTTTTGCAATAACAAATAAATTAAATTGAAAGTATACCCACTTAAATTGAAGGTTTTTTACATTACTTTCATAATCTATACAGAAATTACACATTACAACACTTAGTTTAGGCAAAAAGTGAAAAACACTCAAAAAATACGTATTTTGCACTTATAAACGCTCATAAATAAAAAATAACCAAAAATTTTTTGTTAAATTAACTGGAGGATTTCTCCTGAGGTTGTCCTTTATAACCTAGGCCACATATAAATTCCTGGATTACAGTGTAAAATCACCCTTTTTCTCCCACAGCCCGGGCTATACCGAATCAGAAAGAACATATTGACTGGAAATCCGGTAAAAAGATATCTGACGCGATAAAAAGAGCAAGAAAATGGGCCCTATTGTAATTCGAGACAACATAACTGTTATTAATATTATTTCAAAGTGATAAGGCCTGATCATTAAGACCCATAAGCCCATTTACAAGAAAAATGAAGTAGTACATTACAAAATATAAATAATAGAACATTTCCACACAACTGTTCAATTTACAAACAAATAACAGTCTATAATCCGTTCAAAAATGTTGAGCGCACGAAATGTGCCTCAAAGTAATAAAACGGTCGTAAAATTTGTATCATCATAGGCGTTCCTGAAGTGTTTATTCATTAAAATTAATGCGTTTTACATTGATTTTCCTTTCCAAAATGTTTATCAATATTAATAATGTTTTAATACTAATATATTATATATATATATATATATATATATATATATATATATATATATATATATATATTATTAAAAATAAGAATTTAATCATTAACAATTTTTTAAATAAGAATACCTTATCTCTTTGGATATTTCAATACTAATCTTCGCGTTTAATCACTTTACGAGAAAACCTGGACTTCATATCCGAAGGTACTATTCGTTGCAAGATAATTAGGATGGAATTCCCCAGATTTTTAATAATATAATGGGTATAAAGATGCCGGCTTTGGCCACGTGCTTCGTCTGTTCAATTTATATTCGAAACTTAAATTGAAAGGGTGAAGTTATTACGAACGAAAACAATTTTTTTGTTTAGTACGTTTTTGATCGCATGTATCGCAATTTACGGCTCGTCGGTGTTTCCGCGTCTACGGCAGTAATTAGCGTCTTGAATATTTCTTTTGTGAATTATATGCAGTGCGTGAGTGGTCTTTTATTCGATATACCTACGAACATATACGTACCTTTCGCTCGTGCTCGTTTTGTTGGATTGTTTGTGATGGCTTCATCATCAACATCATCAAGTTTTACACCGGTACTATTGCGTACAGTCTGTCTATTCACCAAGAGAGAAGACTATTGTTCTGAATGTTCACGATGCTCTGGTTTCTCAGAATCCCACAAACACTGTTCGCAACATAGTCGAAAGTTGTACGAACACTTAAAGAGAGGGAAAAAGCCTATTGAAATTGATGAATTTGCCAAAAATGGTATTCGAAGAAAAATTCATAGATTTTTTTTTTAAAGAAATACCAATAATTACTATTTAACTGGGAATAAGCCACAATTAAAGGTAAAAATACGTTTATTAACGTTTCAATTTCCTCTTCGAAAATCGTTCTCAAAATACAAACGTTTGTATTTTGAGAACGATTTCCGAAGTGGAAATTGAAACGTCAATAAAGATATTTTTACCTTTAATTATGGCTTATTCCCAGTTAAATAGTAATTAATTTAAAATGCCACAAGAAAATAACTTCAGAACAATATAAAGAAAGACCAAACCTAAACAAAATTTTACAAGAAGTTAGAGACGACCCGGATTTGCATCATATCGGACGAACTAAATTGTGGCAAGTTTTAAAAGAATTAAATTTCCGGTGGGAGAAATCAGAATGAAAATCACTTTTGATTGACCGGGAGGAGATAATATATGTTAGAAAAGAAATTATCTAAGATCCATACGAAAATTCCGGGCTGAAGGAAGGCCAATCTTCTACCAGGATGAAACGTGGGTAAACTCAAGTCATACTCTAAAAAAAATTTGGTCAGATAAAAATATACTAAGCTCCAGGCAAGCCTTTATGGAAGGTTGGTCTACTGGTATCTCCCCACCTTCTGGTAAAGGCAGTAGATTAATAATTTCTCACATTGACAGTGAAAAAGGATTTGTTAAGCATGGTTTGTTGGAATTTTAGTCCAAAAGCACAAAAGACTATCACGAGGAGATGACAGCTGATGTTTTCGAAGAGTATTTTGAGCAGATGATTGAAGACATACTACCAAATTCAATTATAGTGTGTATTAGATAATGCACCTTATCATTCACGACTAGTAGAAAGACTTCCAACGACTGCGTGGAAGAAACATGATATTCTTGACTGGCTGCGGAATAAGTATCTGCCTTACTAAGATGGAATGGTAAAAGCAGAACTTTTAAAAATTGACCGGCAACACAAAAGTTCAAGAAATGCGTAGTTGACAAAATGGCGGAAAGGCGAAACATCACAGTCCTTACACTTCCACCTTACCACTGCGAAATAAATCCAATTGAACTCATTTGGGCACAAATGAAAAGTTATGTGGCTAGAAAAAATACGTCATATAAAATACAAGCTGTACGTGAATTGTTATACGAGTCTTTACAACATATTACAGAACAAAACTGGAAAGATGCAGTAAGACATGTAACAGAAGAACAAAAAATGTGGGATCTTGATAACATGCGACCGTAGAGACACAACCGCTAATTATTAACTCTCAAGACGACTCTGATTTCGAAGTTGATCCTATTTATTTTGAATTTGAATAGTTTTCTAATCGTAATTATATAAGGTAAGTAATCGTAGTTGTAATGTCGCCTTTCAAAATGTTCAATGTGTTTTAAATTATTCCATTTTTTTTTTCAAATCATGAGAAAACTAAAAAGCATTTTTGAAAAATTTAAAGGCAGAATAAAATATTTATTAGAATAAATAAAAAGTTTCTTTTGCATGCAATATTTTCAATTAAAAATTATACAATATTTTCTCTTTTATTTTCACCCCTGTTACATAACATATTAAAATAAACATTGTAGAAGTTTTCAGGGACTTTCTGTCCTCAGTAATAATGTAATCTTTCACTCTGCGTTTCAATTTTTCAAAAATATTTATTAGTTTTCTCCGGATTCGAAAATAATGGATACATTTAAAACACATTGAAAATTTTGCCAGGCAACATTTAGCGCCTTTCCCCTTAATTAAATAAATGTATCTTTTACAAATGGCAAGAAACTTTTTATTTTTGAATAAAATAAATAAGTTTTATTAAAACAAAAATGCAATTTAAAAAATATATTTATTTAGTTAAAATAAATGTTTCAATAATATATTCTACGACACTGATCGGTCATCTGTAACCAAAATACCTTCGTAATCGGATTATAAGGTTGACTGCTGTATCGTATTCCTTCAGATACAAGGTGGATTAGTCGAAAACATCTTAAACCGTCAGTTTCAGGTTGGTTTTTACTATTATATCGTATTACCTATCCTCTCTGTATTTCAGTTCTCTAATTAGGGTTAAAGTTATAGTGAGCTATCGACAAATTGTGAACCGATTATAGCTGGTTTTTAAATGCCTTTATAGATTTCAGATTATGTATCAAATATCATTCGCAACTATATACGAGATAAATACTTTATAGTAGCAAATGAAATAAGCTATCGAGCGAAATACCGTAAGGGTCCGTATCAGGGTCAACATTATACAATATAGGAATATACTTTAAAACGATGTGTAAACAACTTAAATAATACTGCATTAAGATGTTTACTGAACAACAGTCAAAAGTAATTTATTTGTTAAATGTTTCAGTGGCTTTATGTCCCTTTTAGGCCAATCAAGTTAGGTTTTTACTCATTACAAGTGTATAGACTTGAAATAAGTAGTATGAGATATTACAAAAAGACTCTCATCTAGGGATTCATGAATTTTTTAGTGGAAATATTTTTAAATAAATAATTAAAACGTCAATATCATTATTTTGCTCATAACTTATAAACTTGTCTATTTAGAGATTTGACGTCCACAGACAAGTTGTTGAGAAAAAAAAATACACAAAATGAGATATACTAAATTAAAATCGGTTAATAAACAAAAAAGTTATTGCATAATAACCAAGCAAAACCACTGTTTTTGATTATTGTTAATTACTCTTTTATTAATCAATAAAATTTATTTAAATGTATCTGAACTTAAAGACCTTATCGTGTTCGAAGTGTGTGCGAAAGATAGGCTAGATCCGTCGAATAGTTTTTGCACAATTTAATTTGTTTATAAGATTTTTTGAAAAATGCACAAATTTCTAAGGCCGGTCCAGATAATTTGACTGAATGGATCTTAACAATCCGGGGCTTATTTTCTTTGTTGAGACATATATTAATATCCTATAGAAAAAAAAGTTAAAAAAAATTAAGTTTATGTACACAAAATGATTTAACAATAAATAGCACTTTTTAAGCTTATAAACATTTACAATAACTCCGTACTATTTAGTTTAAATTAAATTTCAATAAAATATTCGGAAGGCTGGTTAAAAAACAAAACCTAAAAGAAAAAGGTCCTGCGACCATTAGGAGACGAGTTAGTCCTTTTTTTTTAATCACTGTTACGTCAATTAACAACATTAAGGGCTGAAATTAACCAATCTTTTAGAAGAAAAGTCAAAGTTTTTAACAAAATATTTAGCAAACAAAATAATTGAAAATTGATTAAACAGGAGTGTTGTAAACCAAGAGTACTTTGCGTTCCGACTCAAATGGAAGGAGTGGGGATTGCCGATTGCACTCAAGCCGCGCTCTAAAAAAAGTCGAGCGCACGTCGAAAGCAGATGCTGTTAGGCCGTTTAAGTTACAACTCATTTTCCTGCGACTATACAACCGGTTTGTTGTATTGAAATATTTAGTGTTTTGTTTTATTTAATAATTGTTACAAATAATTAATGGTAAGTAAAATTCATCTGAATATTAAAAAAAACTACGTGTTGTGATATATATTAATATAAACACGTGGTTGTACCACGTTGTCTGAATAATATACGGTTAAGTTTGAATATAATATTATTTTACTATTATTATAAGTTTACGTGAAAATGAAACTATGATATTATTTATATGGAAAAATTATTAAATATTTCTATTTTTATTTTATAACATGATATTTATTGTACTAATAAAGATTTTAAACATTTATTTCAAAAATTTGAGTACACTGCTTTAAATTGTATACGAATGTATACAATATAATGTATAATTTTTGAAAGTTAACCAATGAAATTTAAACGGATATTTAGATTTACAATTTTTTAGAAAAGATAACAAATGAATATATTAAAATATTTGCACGTTAAAATTATAAGATCGCATTTCAAATTAAAGAAAGAGAATAAGAAAGCTGCTTTGAATACAAGCGTTAAATTGGAAAAGTTGCCACCTACAAAGAGTAGTGCAGAGCAGCATAGTTATACAGTATACCTTCAAGTACAGGAATGGTTGGGCGTGAAGAAAGACCCTACAAAATGGGGATGGAAAATAATTGATCAGAACTTTACACCTATATATTCATCTGATCCCATGGTTCCTGAAGAATTGGCTAATTCAATCAAATGCAATTGCAAAAAAGGATGCAAAACTAAAACATGTACCTGTCGCAAAAATGGCTTCAAATGTACAGACATGTGCGGTACATGCATAGAAATTAAATGTACTAATATTTATGAAATTATTAATGAAGAAGAAAACGATACAACAGATGAACAAGAGATAATTGATGAAATGTATTTAACTGGGTTTCATGAGAATAGCGACAATGAAAATGAAATGATTTATGAAAGTTATAATACAAGTGAAATTGAAGATGAATGTTTACATAGTAGTAGCAGTGACGATATAGAAATTAAGCGTAGAAAATTACAGTAAATTAAATTATTTTAAAAAATCACTACACAAAATTTCAACTTCTGTAATAACATAAAATTAATTTATTATTTCATTAATAAATTTTTAGTAAACATTATTCAAAATGTTCATTTACTTAAAACATTTATTTAATATAATCAAATTTGAAATAAATAAATAGAAAAATAACAATAAAAAGACGACTTAAGAAAAAGTTTGTACATTCCGTAGTCATTAGCTGCTTTGTTTTGAATAATTTTGCAATGAAAGAACGTTAAATGTTATTATTTTAACGTGGTACCCCAGTTTAAAAAAAAGAACAAATTTGGTCCACTAGAACCCGAGATATGTCATTTTTTTCCAAGCACTCTATTTTGAAACCGTGCGCTCGAGTTTTTTGGAGAGCGCGGCTTGTGTGCAATCGGCAATCCCACTCCTTCCATTCTAGTCGGAACGCAAAGTACTCTTCGTTTACAACACTCCTGTTTAAACAATTTTCAATTATTTTTTTTGCTAAACATTTTGTGAATAACTTTGACTTTTCTTCTAAAAGATTGGTTAATTTCAGCCCTTAATGTTGTTAATTGACGTAACAGTGATTTTTAAAAAAAAAAGGACTAACTCGGCTCTTAATGGTCGCAGGACCTTTTTTTTGTTTTTAAAGTTGTATTTTTTAACCCGCCTTCCGAATATTTTATTGCCATTTAATTTAAACTAAATAGTACGGAGTTATTGTAAATGTTTATAAACTTAAAAAGTGCTATTTATTAATAAATCATTTTGTGTACATAAACGTAATTTTTTTTAACTTTTTTTTCCACAGGATATTAATATATGTCTCATCGAAGAAAATAAGCCCCGGATTATTAAGATCCATTCAGTCAAATTATCTGGACCGGCCTTAGAAATTTGTGCATTTTTCAAAAAATCTTATAAACAAATTAAATTGTGCAAAAACTATTTGACGGATCTAGCCTATCTTTCGCGCACACTTCGAACACGATGAGATCTATAAGTTCAGATACATTTAAATAAATTTTATTGATTACTAAAAGAGTTATTAACAATAATCAAAAACAGCCGTTTTGCTTGGTTATTATGCAATAACTTTATTGTTCATTAACCGATTTTAATTTAGTATATCTCATTTTGTGTATTTTTTCTTTCTCAACAACTCGTCTGTGGACGTCAAATCTCTAAATAGACAAGTTTATAAGTTATGAGCAAAAGAATGATATTGACGTCTTAATTGTTTATTTAAAAATAGTTCCACTAAAAAATTCATGAATCCCTAGATGAGAGTCTTTTTGTAATATCTCATACTATCCATTTCAACTGTCAAACCCGTCTATACACTTGTGACGAAAAAACGCTTATTTTCTACTAACTTTACTTGTCTATTTTGGATTTTTGACGAGGATGGATAATAGAAATAAGGTAAAGAACTTTTAATTTATGTAATTAAAAAGTTTACATAATTACAATGGAAATAATTTAAACGTCACAAATATATATGTAATATTTAATATAAATATATACATGTACCTAGATTTATACAAAAAATATACAAAACTTTGATATTTTATAAAAATATATTATACTTGGATCAATCCATATCAAACTAAAATTTTATTCGGAAATCTAGCAAATATAAATTGCTATATTTAATAGGACTGTTATTTATTGGAAAATCTGCTTATAGATAATCGACATTACCTGTTCAATTAAGAATAAGTAAAAGCTGATCAGTCTATTTTTTTTCGTAATGATTCAATTGTAACAATTAATAGTAATTTTATGAGTCACTTAATAACTCCCTTCTTGTTTACTTAGTTGAGACGTGCGACACACGGATACTATCAATCTTTGGAGAAAGGTTGTGCATATTCGAAAAGGCGCAGCCTATTTTTTTATAGTTAACTTAATGACAATACTTTGTCATATTGTTCAATAGTTAGACCCGTTCATGCATACAGATCGTGTATGCAAAAATAAGCAAGACCTTTCAAAAACCATTCAGATAAGGAGGTTTTGAGATCCTCTAAGCGATCTGCACTTAAACATACAGTGCATGTTGGCATGCAGATTGCTTTATTTATACTTTAATTAATATGCTGGGGCGTTTTTTCTTCCAAAATTTACAAATAAAATGGATGTGGGGGATGTATTGTTCCTAAGAAACGAAAGTCACAGTTAACAGCACACTCGTCGATTACTCTTTTGCCCCAACACTTCCTTGACCGCTTCATCTTTTTGACAGGCGATCTTCGGTGACCTACGCTCGCCGAATGCTGTCATTGCGAACATTCCTCTTTTTTCTTCTTGATGTGCCTATCCGTTACGAATGTTGCCGATCATCATGGCAATCTTTATCTTATCTGCAACAGCGCAAAAAAGCTAAACAGATGTTATATTGATTACCAACATAAACACACATATAATAGAAAACGTGAATCGGAAGTTCCGATTTCGACTCTTCAAATGTATGTATCAGATATCACCTTGGAATTATATGTCTAAAAAGTAATTAAAATAACTTTCGTTGTACCTCTAGGTACAAGAAAAATAATGATACTAACACCAAGACGTTTTGTTTGTCTTTTTTAAAATAAAGTAGGTCTTCCGTCGCATCCTTCTACATCATAATCAGTGATAATACAATCCTAGTTAGGCCTCGATCTTTCTTAATCTATTTAGCCAGTCTTTCGTGTCCATCCAGTCATCCTTTTAGAAGGATGTCCAAGGTATTATGTAACAGACACCTAAAATTGACACTGCGGATCCACCTACTTCGCTACTACATGTTCTCGGCCTTACTTTATGGTGTCTAGGACTGTGAATAAAAATGATCTAAATCGCCTTGAGGTGTTCGAAGTGTGGTGCTATAGAAGAAGTTTCTTGGGTGCAAAAGATTCAAAACTTTACAATACCACAACGTCACAGCAAGACTACTGAAAGCGACTACTGGAGTACTTCGGACATGTAAATATAGATTGCTACAAAATATCATGCAACGGAAGATAGCAGGAAAACGCAGTCTAGGATGAAGAAAGACATTATGGTTGAAGAAATTGTGAGTTTGGTTGATATTGATAAAAGCATGATATTTAGGGTGTTAGTGAATAAAATTAAGATAGCTTGTTAACCAACGTTCTGAAAGGATATGGTACATGAAGAATATTCGTGTCCGTTGCCGACTTGCCGCTTCAATCTTCCTATTAGTGTACTAACTAATAGAAAAACACAAAAATACAAATTACAACATATACGCTGAACTTTTAAACGAGAAATCACTCACGAATGCTTCATTTACTTCAGATTATTAATAACATGTATTTTCGAAAAAAAAAAGAGAAATAAAGGTTAAATGAAGTTACAGGGATTTGGAAATATATTCCAAACTTGGCAACGTTGCATGAGATGTTAAATTATGGCAGGAATTAACTATTTGTTAATAGAATAAATAAGTATATCAAGAACGGAAGACTTCATAAACGACTATGGAAGATTAAAAAATCTTGATCTGAAATCTATAGAGTAAGCTCAATTCTTATATTTATATCATAAAAATATCGAGTACAGTAGTAGGACATGAACACAGCTATATAAATGCCTGTTTTAAATACTCTATAATATATTACTACGTAAATATATAAAATATAATCTAAAATAAAATAATCTACTAACTGTCCTGGAAATTATCAAAACAAAATTAGCTTTTTGTCAACAATTGCAGCTCTTCTTTAAGATCAGATACTTGTTGCGATATATTATAACTATGGCTCGGAATTGATCTAGGGATAGAAAAAAAATCTGATTAAAGGTGATCATATTTAAATATGCTAAATGATAGAAAATTTTTTAAATGGAAAAATTTGGAAAACACATAAACAAGGTAAGAAAGTAATAAAATAACGTGACTCCAATTAACATTAATGATAATGAAAGCAGTAAACTACAATTCCTACCCGTATGACAAACCTGATATTATTAGGTCCATCAAAATAAACCGGCTGCGGTGGTTAGATTACATAGAGAGAATGAATGAGATGGAGCCGCCAAAACATATTTATATCCAAAGAATAGATGGAGTGAGAAGTACAGGCAGACCCAGAGCACGATTTAAGGATCAGGTGGAGGAAGACTTGAGAATGTTGGGACTACGAAACTGGAAAACCCAGGCGAAGAATAGGAGAAAATTGAGACTTATCCTTGAGCAGGCAAAGACCCACCATGGGTTGTGGAGTCAATGATGATGATGAAGCTACAATTCGGAAACAAATAACCAGAAGTTAAAAAATATGTAGATGGAGGTAAATAATGAAAAAATTGGGTTGGGATGATCTTGCAGAATAGAAATAGGGAGAAAATAATATTCCGGAAACATTTAACATTGTATAAATTGGTCCACTTGAATACATGTAATTTGGTCCTGGTGCAAATGACACGTATTGAACTACAAAATATTATTTTTAATTTTAAGGATGGCGACTCAAGCTGTTACAAGAAGTAAAGGGGTTTATGGTAAATGGAAACTCTAAAACATGGATGCGGCAATGAAACACAACTTTAAACGGAAAAATGGCAAAAAAAGCAAATATTTTTCTGAATGCAGTTATATAACGGGAAGGCAATCTGATTTACCATCAACACTGGAAAAAGATCTTGCTCATCACATTCTTCAGTTAGAAAAAATGTTTTATGGCTACACTTGAAAGACTAATGGAACTAGCTTAAGAAGTAGATGAAAAAAATAATATTAAAACAAGATTTAATGTTGAACACAAGTCAGTTGGTAAAGAATGGTACGCAGGCTTCATAAAACGACATCCAAACATAAGTATACGTCTATCTGAAGCAACTTCTCTAGCTGCAGGATTTAATAAAACGGTGGTTCATAACTTTCTCGACCTTTATGAGCAAGTAATTAAGAAAAATGGTATTACTGTAGATCATGTCTTTAATGCCAATTGGACATCTCATACTGTTATACAGAAGCCACAGAAAATAATCGCTCAACAAGGAAAACTAGATAGGTGCCATAATGTCTAAAATGTACGCAATGGCTTCGCTGACATCTAAATTGCCAAAAAACGCATGAAAGAGAGTTGAAAATATGGGGCACCTTCAGAACTCTCTTTAAGTATCAAGACGTATGGATGACGAAGGATTTTATCATTGGTTAGAGCAACTTTGTTAGTTATGTCAAACCATCTAAAATGAGGAAGGATGGACACAGTAGTCATACTCAGAACATGAAAGCTTTAGAATTAACTCGTGAAGACGATGTTATAATCATTTCATTCCCTCCACACTGCACGCATAAGATGCAACGTTAAGATGTCGGATTCTTCAAATTACTAAATATCTACTTTACTTTAATAATTACAATAAAATTATATGAAGGCCAAGAAAAAGTTTAACTGTTGATAACATCTGAAGTTACTATTGAAACTGCTCTGAATAATTTTAGAAGAACATAATTATGACCTCGCGACCGTTTTGTGTTCAACGACGCAGATTTTGCAGCTGTATCCGAACAACAGCTCAAATCAGATCAAAGTGAGGCCAAAGTGACTGTTACAGAGTTTAATACTTCCTTAAGCGGGGCATTCACGTTCCGATATATAGTTCCTACTTAGTGCGAGTGAGAGCGTGAATGGAGGAGTCGGAAATCGGATCAAAACTTTCCTTAGTAAGAGCTTGACCTACTGCACGCCTTCCGTATTGAACAGTGAAGGAATTTCTGGATTCATTAATATTTACAGAAATAGTCTCTGTTTGTGGAAGACTAGTAGTCCTCTGTTCGTATACGCGAACCGAAATGCGCGGAAAACAGCTCAACAACACCTACTGAATGTGATTTTGAAGTACGAAAACACTGACAATATAGCGTTCTGCGGTAGTTTCTGTAATCATCCTCATCAATGACATTAAGCAGCTTTGTGATACAATGGTTTACACGATCAACGAATAATTTTTTTTTTCATCAAAATATTTTTCCTTCTATTCAAATCGTCAGGATAACCAGCACAATGCTGCTGCCACTTTTTGATAGCAAGTCGGAGTGTGAGTGGAGCCGACTATCCAACTAGTAGTCCCTACTAAGGGGGACTTCAAATCGGAACGTGAAAGCCCCACTTTACCATCAAGAACCATTAATGTACTTTCTGACGAAACGAAGCAATCTACATCACAATCAGTCCTGTAAAATAAATCTTTTTTGAAAACTAGTCCATTTAAAAAGTTTGAATGTACCACTTCATTAACTAATGATACAAACCTATAAAAAAAGCCAATCTATACAGACTCTGAACTATGTTCCGGTGGAAATGATTCACCATTTACCTTCGTATGCAATATATCGAAAGAAAAACAGAACTACTTTTTCAGGTATATTATACTTATACATGTATGCAACACCCTATAAACCATATTTTTTACTGCTTAATGTATGCTGAAGATGTAGTGTTGGCAGGAAGCAGTGAAAGCGAATTAGAACAAAAACTGTAAGCTCTTAAAGAAAAAGGTTTGAAGATTTAAAAGAAAGACAAAATACGAATGTAACACTGGCAAAAAACTTATTGTCTTTTTTGTGGAGGAAGAGTGGATTAGATACCAAACATGTATGGGTACATAATGTTTGTGTCAATATAACTGATGCTAACTATTATTACTGCGATAAGTGTCAAATACTAAGTGTTTTTTAATCTTAAGAATTAATAAAATTTAACTTTAAATGTTTATCATTTTTTCTTACATAAAAACCAGTAAAACCAAATTACACGACAAACAAAGCCAAACGGCGAAAGTCACGATTACACATAAAGTTTTTATTCGGAATTATTTTTTTTTAATGTAATTATACCTATTTTCTCCATTCTGGGATGTAATATTAATTAGAATAAAAAAGTAGAAAACACAAAAAAATATCTTGTTATGGAAAACGTCCAATATATCGTAATTTCTTTTTAAGGTGTCCAAATTACACCTTACCCTATAGCTTAATAATCCGATGAGGTACTTATTTTTGAACGGATTACTTTATATTTAATCACTTTTAAAATAACAAAATCTGAGTCACATCACTTTTGTTTTAAACTATAAGTGTGATAGTGACACAATCTTAAATCTGAAAATCTATAAGCCACGAATTCCAAACATTTAACTTTTGTCAACCATTACATAAAAAAATACTAATCTGAAACGAATTGACCCACTTATGTCTAGTCTTATGTCGTAGGACGTGCCCAAGTATATACATATCCATCTTGGCACGCAGTTATAATACAATCAGGCCTAAATACGAGAGCCGTTAAACGTTCATGAGCAATTTTCTTACAAACTAATGGTTCAAGGTTTGGACACTCATCTAATCGTGGACAAGCTGGCGTTCCTACCAACTGAAGCGGATCTGGCCTTCTTTTCACTCTTGGTCGCGGTGGTACTATATTATCTTCAGGGAGTTCCCAAAGGCATATTTGAGTGTCATGACCTACTGAACCCAGCCTGTAACATGACTCCACCTAAAAAACGTAAGCTATTAAAGGTCTAAAGTATTAAAATAATGGATTACAAAAACAAATAGTTACAAAAAAAAAAAGTTAGTCTTCGTAAGTGGGTATATTTATTTCTGAGTTTCCAGCTGTTCTCCGTGCGTAGAGGTTTTCTCCCCGGCTCTGGAACTCAATTTTTGCAATGTATGTTACCTGAAGTCATATTTAATTTATTACTGAACATCACAGTTTTTTAACAACAAGATGTATAATCTTTTATAACTATATGTAATTTAAAGGGTTTTTACCCATGTATTTTTGGTGGCTCAGGCATTTTAACCTAGCGATTTTAAACCTGATGATGGACTGTTTAGTCCGAAAACGTTTGTTTTTTTTATGTAGCCCTTTTAAGGGTTTTTAAATAAATATACCCACTTACGAAGACTAACCTCTTTTTTTGTGATACGTGGTATACAGCCAGCTACAGGAATTGTTTTCCTTGTGGATTTAAAAAAAAATGAACTGAAAAAACAAAATTCCAAAAATAAACTTATTATAAAGGTTCCGGAACTTTTCTTATGTAGAAGTGTTTTCAGTTCTTCTTCTTCTTCTAGTGCCGTCTCCACTAATTAAGGTTGGCTATAAACATTGCAAATTCGTCTCAATCTTCTGCTATCTTAAAAGCGTCTGTGTGTTTAACCCGGTTCAGTCGCGAATGTTTTTCAGCCAGGATATTTGTCATCTACCAGGACCCGTTTTTCCTTCGATTTTACCCTTCATAATCAACTGCAACAACTCGTACTTATCATTTCTAAGTATGTGCCCCAAATATGCTGTCTTTCGCCTTTTAATGGTGGTTTTAATGATGGTATCTTCAAAATTCTCCTAAAAAGCAACATCTCAAAAGGTTCAAGTTTTCTCATTAGGTCAACATTCACAGTCCAGGCTTCAACACATTAAAGAAGAATAGAGTAGATATAACATTTTACCGTCTGATATCGGATTTGCAGATTGAGTCTTTGGTTACTCAGAAATTTCCTCATCTTCCAAAAGGCTGTTCGTGATTGCTCTATTATTGAGAGAATTTCTGATTTCGGATTCAGATCTTCCGTATATTCGCTTAAAAGACTAAATATATTCGCTTTCTCGTAGTTCAGAAAAGTTTAGAAAAATTCAGTAATACTGGATATCTTTAACACATGCTTACTAGCCATTATATGCCCAGATCTAAAAATTAAATTCAAAACCTATTACAACATTCAAAAAATATTATTTTAAACATTTATTGATGGTAATTTGATAAAAATGTTTCCATAGAATGTTGTTATATTACAACTTAAACTACAACAAATCGAATATATTTAGTCTTTTAGAGGATAAAATGACTGGCAACGAAAAAAGAATAAAACATTAATTTAAATATTTTTCAATTTTTTTCGTATTGATTTATTTTGAAATAACCCTGATAAAAACAACAACAAAATACCTTGAAATACAGTAAAAAATAATTAAAGTTTTAATCAAGCAATAACATAACCTTAACACCTTCAGTGCCACGATAGTTCAAACAATTTTCATTCTGTGTTGAGATTTTTGTGTTATTTTAGGGTGACTGAACCAATTTTTTTTATTTATTTGCAGTTTATTTTTGTATTTTTCAAGTGTGTATCATTATCGATCGATACACTGCCCCATAAAGTTTTTCGAAGACTTTCGCGCAAGGGCCATGTAAAAGATACACACCTTGTTTTTAATATATTTTTATTTCTTTTCAGATTGTGACTGACCAACTTCTTTGCTTAGAACATTAACCATTCTACAAACACGAGTGTTCGCCTGTAAAGATAAACAATTCGATAAAAACAATAGTGCTGGAAAGTAAAAAACAATTCTACGAACACAATAGTGTTATTGTGTACGTGTAAAGTACTTTAGCTGTGCTTTTACTGATTTAGTAGACTTTGATTAAGATGTATTTCTCAAGTTACGACTTTGATAATGACCCAGACTTTGAACCGGGTTTAGATTTAAGCAATGATAGAAACACTAATGACAGTGATTAATGGAATCAGCCGTCAACTTCCAGAAAGCGACACCATTCTTCTCCAGAACGTAATCGGGATGGCCAAAATTCTCAACAGCAGGATGAAGATAATCAGATATATTCAGAAACTGAATGGATAAAACCAAAGATACAAAATATGTATTGGCACATGCACACTCACGATGATCCTTCAGCTATTGAAGTTACAGTACCGTGGACCGACCCCATAGATTAATTTGAATTATTTGAAGATACTGGAACAGACCAACTTGTATGCAACGGAATATCTTTTGTCCACAGATATTTCAGATCAATTACGACTACATGGATGGCAACCAGTAACTGTCGAGGAAATAAGTTCCTTCTTAGCACTTATTGGTTGGATGAGTTTGGTAAAGCTGCCTTCTATACGAGATTATTGGAAAAGCCATATATTATACAATATAACTTTAGCACATACAGTGATGTCCAGAAATCGCTTTGAAAGTAATCTCAAATTTCTACACTTTGCTGATAAAGAAACTTCAAACAAAGAAGATAGATTATATCAAGTTCGCGAAGTTATCGATATGTTTATTGGAAAGTATCAGAAGGTTTTTACCCCGGGAGAGAAAATTTGTGTTGATGAGTCTGTAGATGCTTGGAAAGGCAGGTTGCTCTTCCGGCAGTACATTCCAAATAAGGCCGCCAAGTATGGCATAAAAATATTTAAACTTTGTACTGAAAAAGATTATACATGGAACCTTCTGGTTTATTGCGACAAATCGAAAAACACTGAATCCGAAGTGTCGGAAAATACAGTTATGTATCGGAATTATGAATCGGAATAGGATTCACTCCCCGCCTCTCGACGCGTTAGTGTTCTGAGCTGTTGGACGTGAATCCCTGTCCTGGCATTTGGTTTTCACCTCTGGCTGCGTTGAGTAGTTGAGTTACTGTGACCAAATGCCCATCTTGGTAGTTAGTATTCGCCTCTGGTTGCGTTGAGTAACTGAGTTACCGTTGCTAACTACCCATCTTCCTGTCTTCTTTTTCTTTTTCTTTGTTCTCCTGAAGAAGCTACATACAATTGTAGCGAAACGTCGAGATGAACCCACTTTTGGGTCACTCACAAATGAGACGGTCCAAACCCGGAAGACGAATAAACTATAAATTAGGAATCTTATATTCATCATTGGTGCGCATATGGGATATGGTCTCAATTTTTTTAAAGAAAAAAAATGGTACGCCACTGAGATTTTTCAAATTAAAAATCATTTTTGAATTCTTCGTTTAATTTGTAACAAAAAGTTTTTACACCTTTTTCATATGAGGCGCTGTTTTTATGGCAATTTGGTGGTGACACGAAAAATTACAGGATATTGCAGTATTTCACTGTCATTTACTGGACTATAAGCAAATCAGTTCAATTGCGATCATAAATCATATCAAGGACAAAAAATAGTTTTCTAAGAAAAATCCTATAATTATTTGCTTTTATAGACTGTTTACTCAATATATCTTATCAAAGACTAAATGAATTGAAAACATTTAAGATATGGGAACCTCTACAGATATGATGAGAATTATACAAATTACAGTGGTAAACTTAACTTAAAAATAACTATAATTACGACTACTCCTAAACAGTCTGTAAAAAGTGTATATTTATTGATAACATGGTTTAAGAAAAACAACTTGAGTAATCGCCTAGTTAAATTCAAATCAAAATGATGTGAATTGAGAATGTAAACAGCAGAAATGAAAATTGAATTGAGAAATATACAGGATAAAGAATGGAAGGACTATTACAAAGAACTGTTAACAGAACAAAAACCACAATTCATTGGAACAGAAAACAGGCGAAGACGAAGCAGATCCCCACAACAAGAAATAGAAATAATAACAGATTGGGAAATGAGAACGGCCATAAAAGGAATCAAAAATAAGAAAGCACCGGGACCTGGAAGCATCTCACCTGAGCTTATAAAGTACGGCTCAAAAAAATTACATCGGATGATAATATGGATTTTTAAGAAAGCCATAAATGGAGAACAGCTCCAAAGGAATGGACGGAGGCATATATGACATCTATATTTAAGAAAAGAGATAGAAAACGATGCAAAAACTACAGAGGAATAAGCGTAATATCATCAATAGGAAGATTATATGGGAAGATATTGCGAGAAAAGATAGAGCAAGCGATAAAAGGCAAAATCGGGGAGGATCAGGGCGATCAGGGAGGCTTCACGGCAGGTAGATCATACATAGAGCACAATACACACTGGAACAACTGATCCAAACTGTGTAAAAGAAAAAAGCAAAAAATAGAGATATACATTTGGCATTTGTGGATTTAAGAAAGGCGTATGACTTTGTACCAAGGTAGATCTATGGGCGGCAATGTACAAATTAGAAATACAGACGGAACTCATAGAAGCTACAAAAGCTCTGTATAAAAAAAACATAAAAGAATGCTTCACCACAACAAATGGGCTGCTGCAGGGTTGTTCCACATCTCCAACCCTCTTAAAAATATATTTAGAGAAAGCCTTGACAACATGGAAAAGAAAATGCGAAGGCATGGGAGTACCGGTATGAAATGAATACCTATATATACGTTAAGGTTTGCAGACGATCAAGTAGTGATTGCACAACACCAAGCAACAACGACCTTAGCTACATAATGAATAAACTAGAAGAATATACCAAAGCTGGCCTAGATACTAACATCGCGAATACAGAGTACCTATCTACAAGTGAAGAAGACATAGAAGATCTACAGATTGATGACAACGTAACAATCAAAGGAAAGGATAAATTCAAATACTTGGGGTTTATAATCACGAAAAAGGCAACAACAGAGGAAGAAATTAAGCAAAGATTAGGACAAACAAGAACAGCAATCCGACAACTTAACTCAGTATGGTTAGATAGACACCTAAATATGAAGACAAAAACACAGATTTATAAAACATTAGTGTGAAGTATGATGACATATGGGGCTGAAAATTGGATTATAAACAAAAAAACCAGAGGTAAGATAGTAGCAACAAAGATAGAATGACTTGCGAAGATGCTGCAGGGTAACGAGAATGGATAGGAGAAGTAATTATGAAATAAAGCAAAGAATATCAATAGAAACAGACATACTAACATATATAGAACAAAAAACCTCTACATAAAACTCTAAGGTTTGCTAAGCTTTCGAGTTTATTTAACTCTTTTTCAAAATATACCTTGTGAGTTATTTCAAAATTTCATGATTATATCTTGGTGTGTGATGGTGTGTAGAGGGTAAGGGAGAGGGATCAAGGGCTGGCAAACTCATCTTGGTCCCAAATCACAAACCTCCTAGCTCATGAAACCATTGTTCAAGAATTGATTATTCCTTGAACAATGGTGGTGGACTAGAATTAATACCAGTAGTGTCTTTGGTTTGTAGTTATTTTAGGGTATCATAAATGCAGAAAATTATCTGTAACTGCTCGTGGATTTAAAGGAAACATTTGAAAATAAGTAATCCACAGTTAGCCAATATTAGCCCTTTTAGGACTATAAGTTAATAAACATATATAAACATATAACGGAAGAAGAAGAGGAATTAAATGCTTCACTGTAAATAAGTTGTACTGCATTGAATGTGTTGTCTGAGCCTGAGGCAGTAAATAAAATATGTTTTACTTTTTACATGTTTTAATTATTAGCTACTGGTTTGCCAATCCCAATAAAGCCATGGGTTTTGCCCCTTCCACAGCTGGTAGCTCTATTCGGGGAGAGTGCCATCCTATTTGATGACACTTAGGCATTTACCTGTGTGCATACAAATACTTCTATGCCGTAATATCACATATCATTTCTGCATTGAGGAAGGTGCTTGGTAGTTTGAACAGATTTAACCCTTCATTACTTCTATTAAACTACCCTATGCAGGGCACAGTATTACATATGTTTCTAAATAAATGCAAACAACATTATTTTTCTGATTTTTTTTTTAATTAGTAAACTTCCAATAACTCATTATGATTAAGATGGACCATAATATAGATATTGAAGAAATGTTAGATATTCCTAAAATTTTGACCAAATGAAAGTCAGATATCAAGCACAGTTTTATTAATTAGATCTTGCCCAAGTACTTTAATTAATAAAACTGAGCTCGATATCTGCCTTTCATTTGATCAAAGTTCATGTATTCAAACATTCAACTTTATATCAATATTCCTAAAATTTTTAAGATATGCCAAGGAAAAAGGAAATGTATTAATCTCATCCAAAAGCTTAATTAAATGTGAAAATCATATAGGGTAAGATCATCTAGGGTAATCCTCATGTATCCACATTAAGCAAACTCTTTAAAAACAGTTTCTTGTAACACTTTGACACTCATCTAGAATACCAGATGTTAATCAATTATTCTTCAGTCAAATATATTTAATTCTTTTTTTCAATGTACCAGATATTTTTGGTGCACAGGTGTTCTAAGGTACTCACAGTTAGGCTCTTGCCATATGAGGAACATTTGCAAGTCAATACAACTTTCTGTTTCCTCTTCTTGCTCTTACTGCCTTATAAAGACACAGTATCTCTATTATAGGTTGATTTTTTAAATCTGGGACAATGAGTACTTACTTTGCTGTACATGAACTTCCTTGATAGTTTTTGCATATAGTCAGATTGAATAATTGAATTACAGTGACTAACAAACTACTTTATGATTTGCATTTATTAAGAAACTAGTTAAACTTTTACCAAAACCTTTTATTCAGTCCCTCAATTAGAGCATGGTTCAAACTCTTAACTTATGTTAGTAATATGAGAAATTCTTCTATAGAATCTTGACTTTGTTATTAACTGTGTTAAAATGTAAGTAAATTATCCTGAATAGGTACATTAAGTAACTAATTGTGTAAAAATAGTAAACTTACCTCTAAGTACCAATCAAAAGCTACAGCAGAGACCCAGGATCTATGTCCTTGAGCTCTAGCCACCACCCTTTTCTGTTCCATTGAGTATACAGTAACTAAATCATCTTCTCCCCCAACAGCTATTAACTTTCCATCACCAGACCAAGCTACACATAAAAGTCCACCAAAATAAGATCTAGCATATCCTAAAAGTTCCATACTATCATATTGGAATATTCTTAGTAAACCATCTTGTGATACTACAGCCAGTTGGGTACCATTAGGACTAAAGGCAAGTTCATTTATGGCTGCACCAGTCCCTAACAACCACCTAAATAGAGGATTTCTTGTTGATTTTGTTTTGCAAGTATTTACAGAAAAGCCTTCCCCAGCCTTGAAGGGCTGGTAATGAGGAGCTGCTGATCCACAAGGCAATTCTTCATTATAAACATAAAATTGTCCTGATGCATGAGCAGCTAAAAATAAAGATTTACTTCCGGGTACCCAGCGTAAACAAGTAACTCTTGTTTTATCAATAAACCTTTCTTCATTAAATAATTTACTAAGTTCTTTTTTTATTGGATCTATTAATTGTATTTGACCCGTACTGAAACCAATGAGTAAGCTTACACTTTCACTTGTAGCAGATGTACTATTAAAATCATGGCAAGTTGGATTTGTACCTTTATATACCTTCTTTTCAAGAGGCTTGCTTAAATCGGCTGCTTTCTTGATTCCTTTGTAAACATATACATATAGTTCTCTACCATGGTTAAAACATATTCTTTCTCCTTGTTCAGGAAGCCCTACAAGGGATACACGTACTTGTGGAGGTGTTTGGCCTTGTGGTTGATATCCCACTCTATTTGGTCGTGAATATTCACTAAGCGTTAAAAGTCTGTAGGTACCTTCTCTTGTAACAAATTGCGTTTTAACATCCCCGGGCTCACCAATTGTCCTATCGAGACTTCTATCGCCCGCCTCTAGTAAGGACTGATTGCATAGTGTTTCTGGTCTAGCCATGATAACAAACTACCTCTTAAAGTTAAGTGCTTAAAATTTTATTGAAACTATAACATTCTGTATCGTTGAGTGGTTAAATACTTCATATTTAACTGCATGTTTTTCTATTCATTGATTCAATAATTATTATTACAGAATCTGTCAAATTTTAAGGTTATGAACTAACTTATATTCGATTTAAAATTTAAGTGGGAATTCTACTCATTGTGATCGTGAATGTTACTTGGCATTATGGAAATAAAATATTTAATTGAAAATTGCCATAGAATAATTCTAATTATTAAGTAACGCAAACTATTAACTTTAACAATTCATTACAGCTTTATAAGAATACCAAATATAAAAATGTGCATCATAGCACATCATAAGAATGTGCATTATCTTTACCTATGTCTTTACCTTTACCCTCTGTACAGTTTACTACCCCTTTTACAGCTTACAGTAATACTTGTCCTCTATCTACTGGAAGAAAGAAAGAAAACATACTCGAATTCTTGTTTCTTGAATACATTGTAAATAAGGGTCCATTAAAAACAGAAAAGAAGATGAAATTAAATTTTTTTATAATATAACCTTAAAGTTTAATGTGTATATCTTGTAAAGATTTTAGGAAATATTAGGTTTTTATTTTAACTTTACAATGCCTAACTCAGATATTGATGATAACGAAAAAGTAACTGGACCCGTCGACAATGCATGGGAACTGAAAATTCCAGAATTTAAACCAGAAGATAATCCACATGGACTATTAGAGGAAAGTAGTTTTGCCACATTGTTTCCACAATACAGAGAACAATATTTAAGACAAGTGTGGCCTTTAGTTACAAAAACTCTGGGTGAATATAATATAAAAGCAGAACTAGATGTTGTGGAAGGTAGTATGACTGTTAGAACCACAAGACAAACATGGGATCCCTATATTATTATAAAGGCAAGAGATGTAATTAAGTTAATGTCCAGAAGTGTTCCCTTTGAGCAAGCCAAACGTGTTTTAGAAGATGATGTTGGGTGTGATATAATAAAAATTGGAAAAATAACAAGAAACAAAGAAAAGTTTGTTAAAAGACGCCAACGTCTAATAGGTCCAAATGGATGTACATTGAAGTCTATTGAAATATTAACTAACTGCTATGTTCTAGTTCAAGGTCAAACAGTATCAGCACTAGGTCCATATAAAGGGTTGCAACAAGTTAGAAAAATAGTGGAGGACACAATGAAAAATATTCATCCTATTTATAATATAAAAGCTCTGATGATAAAAAGAGAATTAGCAAAAGATCCCAAGTTAAAAAATGAGAATTGGGAGAGATTTCTACCCAAATTTGTTAATAAAAATATTAGTAAACGCAAGCAGCCTAAAAAGAAAAAGGAAAAGAAACCTTATACGCCATTTCCACCAACACAACAAGAAAGTAAAATTGATAAAGAACTTGCCACTGGTGAATACTTCCTTAACAAAACGCAGAAGAAAGCTAAAAAACAGAAAGAGAAAGATGATAAACATGCTGAAGCAGCAAAGAAGAGAGAAGAAAAGAGAAACCAAGCCTTTATACCTCCTGAGGAACCTACTACATCTAAGGTACAATCTAAAACAAATACTAAGGTTGATATAGCTGCACTAAAGGAGAAGATTACTAAAGCCAGGAAAGGTTCTAAAATATTTAACTCAAAATGATTTTGTAGTAAGTTTTTAATAAATAATGTTTAGTTTTTTGCTTGATTTTTTTCATGAAAAGACCAAATCTGTCTTAAATTGGAGAATAACCATTGTTTCCTCAAGAAGTAACTTAATACAATAGATAGGATAGAAATAAGTATATTGTCGGTATAATGCCAAAACCACAAATGTGCAAAATTTGTGTTTTTGACTTGTTTTAGTGCGCCACTAAAACAATCCTGAACACAACTATGCAATGCCACAATCACGAGCCTTCAAGAAATAATAATAGCTGGGGGAGAGACACATTCAATTTCACTAATGTCAGTGTGCCTCTTTCAGTTGCAATGTGTTTATCGCAAGTGTGTCAGTTTTGTGGTTTTGGTATGGTAGTGTTTTTGTTAGCGATTTATGAATGTGGCACCTTCGTGAGTCTGGCATTGCAAATTTTTGACACTGACACTTTCATGAGTTAAACATAATACAACATTATTATTATCGTATCATGAAATATTTCTTTGTGAATCAAAACGTTAATATTCTGCTGTGTATGTGCCATACGAATTGGATTATCTCAACATGAATTCTCATACTAGAAAAATATTTCAACAATTCGGCAATGAAACAACTACTAAGAAGCAGAATTTTTCAGAAAAAGCTTTTCATACTTTGGTAAATATTTTTATTACTAAGTAATACTATAATAGTAAAGAAACTTATTTAATTATGCTGTAGGGTCCAAATATCAACCATAATGACTTGTCCATCAAGCCAAGTACATCCACAGAAAAAGATTATAATACATCTGTTGCCGAAGATATCCTGGAAGATTTTTTGGAAAATTGCATTACGAATGATTCTTCTATAAGTGATAATAAAAGAAAGTAACCAAATAGGTGAAAGTCTTGTAAAAACTACAGAAAGTATCTATACCTATACTCAGTGTTTGTTGAATAATTATTTTTTATTATTGTATTTTAAGTTGAAACTGGCGCTTTGAATATCACCAATGTAGGCAGTTATATCGAAGCAGAACAGGAAAACAAGCTAATAGAGAACCCTTATTCTGTCTCTTCCTCAGACAATTATGAATCTGAAGATGACAGCTCAACTTCTAGTATTTTCAGGTTCTTCTCCCCTCCTTTGTTTCAGCTTGTAGACAAATTTTTCGGTGATACAAATTCTACTAACTAACCCTAACTATATACTTATAATTTATGATATTCGATACCCTACATTCTCAGACCAAAAAGTCATTAAATTTGAATTGCCTTCACCAGCCCTCAGCCGGAGAGACGATACGCTGATTACAAGGGATTTTTAAAATAAACGTTAAGTATTTACTCGACATTCTCCCACCTTGAGAAATTTAACATAATTTCTCAAAAAAATGCAGAGAGTTACGAAAGAGTCATGTAAATATCACTTAAATCTTAAAGGAGTTTTCACCACCCGGCCACAACGCGTATATCTTTCATTTAAGTCGAGTACTCTACTTTTTATCACTCCCGCAATTTTTTCACTTGGTTCTTCCTCAAACTGGAGTCGAGCAACGTTCTCTTGGGGCAACCTCTCTGGAACCATATGACTTCCACAGGCTAGAGTATTACCTTGGACATTCTCGCCATTAGAAACTGTATCGACGATCTCCACCGGGTAAAGCCTTTGTAATGGTCCCAGAAGTTGTCTTGTGCAGTCGCAAGACAAACCAACCTTACCTGGCCATCCCTACCAGGTATAAGTTCAATAATTTTCCTAAAGGCCACTGAAGACGCTTGATGTTGTCATTGCCGACTAAAACGAAATCCCCGATAGACACTTTAGACACCTTCGGCTTCTTCGTTCCTGCTTTGAGTTGAGCCAAGATATTCAGCACGAAATCATTTTCGCAAATGATTTCTCAATCATTAGCAAATCACATTCCGGCAACTCGTAACTGACTTGTTCCCTTTAAAAACATACTTGGGGTTAATGTGGTTAACTCAGTAGAATCTGTTCTCGGACGCGACTAGTTCACGTTCGAGACGCATCGCGCCCCGCCCCTTATTTTTCCCGTTGGCCCCTCCCTGACCTGGAAATCCCTAATCGCTACTTCAGAAAGTATAAAATTAGGCGATTTTCAGGTCAATCAGTTCAGTCCTTCACGGGCTCTCCGAAAGCTTAGTGCTCTCGGGGCTCTGCTTCCCTTTTAGCTTTCCATACTCTGTGGCTGAGTATTATTTCTACTGTATTTTTGGTGTTTTATTTCGACCTATATATATTTGGTCATGTAAGAAATAACTTGCCTTTTTCAAGGCAAGACATCGAAGACAACAAACCTGATGTTTATTTCGACAACTATCATGTAAGATATGTGTCATGTAAGAAATCTCTCGTCTTTATTAAGACGAGCCATCAGGAAACAAAACATTTTGAAGTCCATACCCTGAAAATGGACAAAAGTAGAGGAGCTCACGATGTTTTCGAAGCCCCTCTACAGAGCACACGGTGGTACAGAAGGTGGCAAGACCCTTTCCATTTACCCCGAGTGACAAATCGTCCGAAAGATACGTTAATGAATTCGAGTTGACTATACTCTCACAATCACACAATAATGTCAATAAGTCTTCATAATTGAGAGACGTTCGACCTAAAACTTTTCGCAAGAGTCCTTTTGCCAGGGCTCCAAAAAAACGCCACTTAATACGTTTGTGTAGAACTAGATTCCGCGATAGTATTCCAGTCCAATTGCCGAATCCCGTAAAATTTGTTCCATTGTCACTATAAACTATTCCCGGTCGTCCTCGCCTTGTAACAAAGCGACGAAAGGCTCGAATAATTTATATTCAAGCCTTTTTTCGCGAAGCAAACTAAGGAGTCCTTGTGTGCCTACATGACAAGAGCTTTTGTGTAGGCTTAGTATTTACTCGACAACAATTCTCTTGTAATTTAAATGAATTCGAGAGATACCAGTCATTACGTTATTATTGAACAACAAATTATTTCTTTGGCGTCGTCAAAAACTGATGGCCATCGTGTGACAGCTTTATTAAATGCATCAAGCGTCAATATGGAATATGCCGGTATATTTTTTATTCGTACCCCATTTTGCTTATTTAAAGTACATCGTAGGTTTAAATTTAATGTTTAAATTTAACTTTCAAAACCTCGCGTGTTTTAAAGTTACCATGGCAACATAACTTTTGACGTCAAATAAATAAAATATAAAATTACTAACAAATATTTCAAAACTTTTATTCAAATATTTGGAAATCTTAACCTTTTAAATGAATGTGAAAAGTACAGTTGGTATTGTTTGAAATATTAAAGGTCGATTCACACACATCAGTCACGTCTCGTCACAGTGATTGCGCCGAACCGAACAATCCGTCATACAAAATATTCTTTAATACAAATATGTTGCCGGCATTCACACTCATCAGTTGACAAACAGTTTCCCAGCTGTCAGATAGTTGATAGTTCTGTGACCAAATAGGACCGGTTCGGCGCCGAGACTATGACGGGACTGATGTGTCTGAATTGACCTTTATACTTCCGTTTTTTAAATCGAGGAAATGCTGTTCAAATTAATACTACCCACATTCTCGAAAGCCAATGGGGTTGTACTTCCATTAATGGCACTCCCAATAATGTTTGAAATATCCCATTTTTCGTTTAAAGGCCACAAATCACCTACCTCTGTGGTTTATTTTATACTGTGGGTTATTAGTGGTCTGTGGTTTAAGCAATATACAACCAGTTAATAACAATTAATCTGATGTGACAGATTGCAAATTAATTTTTGTTTTTCTCATTTTCATAATAACGAAAGGTATACTTACTGATGCAGGTACATACATCACAATTCAACCATTTTAAATTATTAGCTCCTATTTCAATTTTTTGTAGTAATAATCAATAGTTTCAAAGTGTACAAATACAAAAAAATAGCGTAAAGTATTTGTGGATAACTGGTATTTAAAACACCTGCTAAAATCGTGCGTGTTTAAAGACGTTAATATCCACTTCGGACTCCACTTCAAAAGACTCAAACGTCTCTGTTCAGTACAAATTTTTTGAGTTTTTTTAGGTATTTTAATAATTCATAAGTTTTGGTATGTAAATTTTGGGGAATATAATCATAATGAAATATGTTTATTACTTTTAACTTATTTATTGATTTTCCAATACAATCATGTGAGTTAGAACTATTTTTTGCTACAAGTTTTAATCAAAGAAGTCTGAAAATTGAGCCTAACTGAATGGCATTTTTTCGTTAAGAACAAATATAACTTGAAGAAAAAAATCAATACCGAGTACTTACAAGGAAGTGATTTGCATGACCATTTGAGAAAATAATTTTACAATTGCACGATTTTTTTTTCCAGCATGAGTTGTTAATGTTTTTCCAAATTGGCTTTCTGAGCAAAGAAACCTAAAGCTTAAAACAAATTTCGCACTTGCAAGGTTTTTGATGGGGTGTAAGGGGTCGAACCAACATCGATAACATCATGACCCAAATGTCAACCTCACCTGCTCGAGCGGTAACAAATGGTTACACGGTGCACCGTGCTAAATAACCACGAGGCTCTGACGACCGAGTATAGGCGGTTATAATGGCTAGAGCCGGTAGCCCCTTCATCAGAATCGGGCGCGAGAGGCCAATCACCTATACGCCTCAAATTACTAGATTTTCGAAACTTCTACAGAGAACAACCGGACGGATCCTTTGATAACGACCTTTGGTTACGTAAACGGACAAGAATCGGATATTGGAACATAAAAACTATGATGCAAGCATCACGCCTTGCCCAAATTTGTAGAGAGATGAAAGCATATAAAGTCGATATACTAGGTCTCAGTGAGACACGGTGGAATGGGACGGGAGAGCACGTCAACATGGAAGGCGACCTGCTGATATACTCTGGTAAAACAGATGGCGGAAGACATGAAAATGGAGTAGGAATTCTATTTTGTAAAGTCACAAAAAATTCTCTTGTGGAATGGAAACAGTTTCAGAGCGAATAATCACTGCAAGAATTAGGACCAAATTAAGACTGGTAACAACACTGATTCAGT